TAGGACGTCGTTTAGGACCAGTGCCTTTAGTGAGATCAGTCAAAGGAGAAGCGATTGATGCAAATCCCGGAATGAAACGTCGGTAATGTTGAGCTAGGCCAATAAAAGATCTGACTTCTTGGACATTGGTCAAGGCAGGCCATGAATTTAATACCTTGATTTTGGCACGACTAGGTAAGATACCATTGGAGGTGATATCGAATCCAACAAATGTCAATTCTCGTTTACCAAACTCACATTTTTTTAGATTTGCGATTAGGTTGGCATTTTTGAGTTTGTTCAATACCATGCGTACATGTTGCTTATGCTCTTCTAGTGATTTACTGTAAATCAAAATGTCATCCAAATAAACCAAAGCAAATTTGTCTAAGTAGTCACCCAAGATTTTGTTCATTAAGCTTTGGAACGTTGGAGGAGCATTGGTAAGTCCGAATGGTAAAACCAAGAATTCAAACTGTCCGTATCTGGTGTTAAACGCCGTCTTTGGCACATCTTCTGGATTGATGCGCACTTGGTGATAGCCCGACTTCAAATCAAGACTTGTAAAATAAGTGGCACCTTGCAGGCGATCTAAACATTCATCGATCCTTGGTAACGGGTGGTTGTTCCGAGTGGTTACACTATTCAAAGCACGATAATCAATGCACATTCGCATTTCTCCAGTTTTCTTTTTCACAAATAGAACAGGTGCTCCCCAAGGCGAAGCGCTTGGACGAATCAGGCCTAATTGTAGCAGTTCTTTGATCTGCTTTTGCAGTTCATCTAGTTCGGCAGGACTCATTTTGAATGGAGGGCGACTGATAGGCTTGGCTTCTCCCGTGTTGATGACATGAGTTACGTCACGCTCCGGAGGTAGCCCAGGTAATTCATCCTTGAAAACTGAAGAGAATTCTTTCACTATTTTATCCCAGTATTCTTCTTTTACAACCATAGGATTTCTTTCGTTTACTTCAGCAGAATTTACGTACAACAAGTAACTCTCAGCTCCTCTACGAATACTCTTTTCCGCCTGTTTTTTTGATATCAAGTAGTTCAGTTGAGGGATTGTAGGACGTCCTTGACGGTAGTCATTTCGAGGAACTAGTTCAACTTGCTGTTTCTTGTCTTTACTCTGTATATACCAAGTATCGTTGGACCAGTCAGGGCGCGGATCGACATCCTTCAACCAAGTTCGACCTAGAATTACATCAAACTTAGTGGGGAACACGTAGGCTGTCACCTTGGTCTTGAAACCTTGTAAGTCTAAAAATACTTCGACCTTTTGATTAATCTCGGTTGTTTCGCCACCAGCAGTTTCCACTCGTCGATCATAAACAGGAGTAGAAGAGACAGCATGCTTTGCTACACTGGGCGACACATAGTTTTCGCTTGCGCCACTATCGATCAATATGTCTAGACTAGTACCATCAACTTTGCCATGGTATAGAGGTAGTTTTGTAGCGACTACGTTTAGTTCAGACAAATACTGAAACTCTTCTTTTAGCCCTTTACTTGGATGAATGATAGGCACTAATTCAGTAACAACGCCGTGTTCAGTTTTTGTAAATTCCTCGGGGTCTTGGTCTTTAGTGATTACAATAGAATCATTATTATCGTCGTTGTCATCAGTATCAGAATAAGGTGTGTAATCTTCAACTTTATTTGACTTTTGAGTAAAACATTTACAACAAGTTGTGTTACTATAGTCATCGCTTGCAGGAAGATTTTCTGAATCTTCACCTAGCTGAGCTTCCTGTTCCTCAACTAGGTTTAATGAAAATCCTTTGACGAACTAGCACCATTATTCTTGTTTAGTTTGCGATAGCGGTCTTGCTCCATTCGACGGATATCTTCACTACGCATTTTGCAAAAACGGCGAATGTGACCAATTTTGCCACAGTAATGACAACGGGTGTTTTGTCGAGGAGAGGAGGTCATCACGCTTAAATCCATTGGCTCGCCGGCATAGGGTCTCCTTGGTGGAATAGAACGGTTGGCATTGAAAAATCCAACATTTCGACGATAAAAAGTGGGATTTTCATGTATAGCGCTGTCGTGTGCAATTGCGACACGAATGGCTTCTCTCAAGTTAGTACTTTGGGCTTGACGAACTTGAGAACGGGTATCCCGGTTAGAGAGCCCGCGCATAAACTTGTCGCATGATTCATCTTCGGTAATTCCTGGGATAGCAGCAATGATGTCCATAAAACCATTAATATAGTCGTTTAGGGAACCCATTTGTCGGTAGGCTGCCAATTTATCTCTGGCAAGTCGGATAGAGTCATCGGGTCGGAAAAAATCCACCAATTCCCTTTTAAGTGTCAACCAGTCTTGTGGTTCTTCTTCAGTATCAGATTCCAGAGTACGGTACCAGGTGTCGGCCCTTCCGCGCAACAATGTGACAGCATAGCACTTAGTTTGTCTGGAATCCCAGCCTTGGAAATCAGCGTAACGTTCCAAGGTACGAACCCATGAGTCAATAATCATTGCATCGCGAGTACCGTCGTAGGTTGGGGGTTCAATTGTACGAGGTACACTTCTACCACCATTGTTATTCAAGGCCTTGGTAAATTCTTGAATAAGGGAGACAATAGCAGTATTGTCAGACAAATCAGAGGTAGAGTTTTCTTTGGACATTTTTTTTTCAATAATACACCAGTACTAATCAATTAAGATAATAGAGTAATTACAGCACGTAGGCAAAATAAAGATACAATACAGCACTTAGGCACAGATATACAGCACGGAGGCACACAGGGAGATACAACAGTCAGGAACGGAACGTCTGATGCTACCAATTGTCGATTTGATATTTTACTTAGGTTTGTATTCTTATAGTCAAGTCACGAGACAATAGAACGTTTCTTAGCCAATAGATTCACTGGGAAATATTCTGGAAATAACGTGACGTCACAGAAAGGAACTGTGTATTGATACAGTAAGTATAAGATCTTTATTTATAATAAATGTAATGTTACCTGTGTATTGATACAGTAAGTATAAGATGAAGAACTTACAAGTATCAATAACACAGTATTTATATGTTTTCTAATTGTACTAAAATATATAAACTATAACATATGGAGAAGGAAGTAATTAAATACTTAAAGCTGATTGATGTTTCTGTCTTGACGAATCTAAAGTGTGCTTGGCTTTACTAATGCGAATCAAGTTGAGGCGGACTTTCTTTCTTCTTTTGTTCAGTACTTGTGGTTTAAACCTTCGTTTGTTCGGATTATAGTTTGTTGGAAGGTTATATTCAACTTCAATTGGCTGTTTCTTACTGGAATCGCTATTTTCTGTGACAGAAAATGGCACAATTTATACCAATATATATACAACAAAAAACTGAAAACCACGTGATGTATCAAATCCCAACAATTCTATTGGCTCTAATTATATCGTTACTTAAATTTCGGCTGCATAAAGTTTGATTTTTTGGTCCTTTGTCTCAATTAATGAAAGAAACCAGTTAATGGAACCTTTCTTGTACAGCCAAGTGTGATGATCTGACATTAAATAAGTCTTCATTTACATACTAAAATACATCATAATCAATTTACATCAGAAATAGACATAAAAGAACCTCTTGTACTGAATAAGACAATGGATCTTTTAATAGATCAAGACGTATAACCGAAATCCATAATTTACATTATTTAATTAATTTAAAGTAGTCTATGATAATAGAGACTCAGTCATTTGCATGAACTCTACGACTACTTACTCCGACATCTCTTCATGTATAAATATGCTATAAAGCAGTCTCAAAGTATCTACCTTTGTCTCTATATTATCTTATCATACAACTCTTTATTATCAAAACATCACACCAAGTCATATTGAAAAATTATCAAAAGACATATAGAAATTCATATGAACCCTTGAATTAATAATACGATGTAAAATAACTCTGGTAATAAGAAGTTATAGGATGCTCAAGTACATTTGTTTATTGAATCAGAATAATACTAATACACTTTTTCTTTTACTTTGGTTTAAATCTTTATAGGTCTTTTTCTACTTTTGATACTTGCTATATCATCAAATGGCGTGCTACTGCTACTACTATTACTACTACTTCCATGACTATCAGATCGGGTGATATTGACAATGCCTATTATCTTGGGCTGTTGTTCTTCTTCTTGTGTCAAACTAGCATTCAAGTTAGGATTACTACTATTGTAAGGCAAGACAGTTGCATCCATCTCTTGGCTACCATCTTGATAGTGAAGTGTCTTTTCATCCTGTTGTACCTTACGTTGATAGTGATAATACTGTTGACATGCTGCACAACCTTGCACCAGTTTCATATCATGATATTGCTTCTTTTTGCGACTGAACACACCATTTTTTCCCCAAGCCAATGTGAAACCAGAAAAAAGCATCCAATATACATTCATGTTTTGAATTAATGTAGGCCAAACACCACCATAAAAAGAAGCAAGTGCCACCAACTCACTAAACCGCCATAACCAATACATGGCTTCAAGTCCCTTAAACCAAGGTCTTTCGTTCAACTGGCGACCTTGAATCGTTTGACTACGACACAAAAAGTCTTGTGCATCTGTGCTTCGCCAAACCACGAGCAAAAAGAACCAAAACACATCCAATGTGATTTGTTCTGTAGCAAACAACCAAGTGTCAGCAATAGGAATCCATTCGTTTTGAAAGACCATACCCCACATGTAAAAGATACCATAGCGTTCTTGGTTGGTATCTGCAGAGGGGATAAAATTAGCCTTGAACCAAGGTAATGTCAGCAAGGCCAAGATATAAATAAAAGTAACATGCCAAACGAAAGGTTGATCCTTGGGTAACTGCATGAATCGAATTGTCCATGCCAAGATTTGTTTCTGAAGTCGAATATACATGGATTTGCTTTTTTGTTGGTCGATATGATGCATACGCAGCAAAAGCTGTTGCATACGTGTCTTGTACTGGATATCGTTTGGACCCAAACATTGAGGCACAATCAAAAGAAATAGGATGGCAGACATAGTCGAGAGTGTAATGCATTGTAGCACAGTTGTCATTTTAGACTTGATAATGAATTCGCCAGAGCCACCACCGATCTTGATGCGTTGCGTATCCATACGGAACAATGTCTCAGAAACACCAACTTGACCGTTGGGTTGAGTCACTTGGATTTTGAGCGCATACGTTGCCTTGTCTTCAAACAGACTCGTGTTCCAAGCAGCAACCCAAAGAGGGTGTTCTGCATCACCCACAAAATGAGCAGGATGAGGATGAGGGTGTTTATCAATAAAAATATCTATTTTTAACTGATCAGGATCTTGTCCTGAAAAGACCAAGAATCGGATATGAGAACTCTGTCGGATACGCCAAAGAGGCTCTTTAGAAGGAAGAGAAAAACGAGCATCTTTCGGGTTGGTAACAAGAATAGAAGGAGCAGGCTGAACTGGATGTGGCCAAACGATCGTTTTATCTTGGGCCATGGGATGAACAAGACCAAGACTATTGACGGGTCCTTTTTTGGGAATCTGGTCTAGAGGAAGTTGAACGTCTACAAACGAAATCAAGTCGTGGTCAACAGCAACAATACGATAGAGTCCGTGCTCCTTGAGATCACCTAATTCTAATTCAAGTGATTTGGTGACAGGATCGTATGATTTGAGGACATCACCTAAGCCTGAACAAAGCAGTTAGTGACTGGCAACAATTATCTTTATATTTTACCTGCAATCAACTTGTGAAGGTGGCCACAAAAATACATACTATAATGACTTGCTAGATCACGAAACGTTCTGCCCTTTTTTGAAACACCAAATACCATGGTGGAAGTAGGATAATGTGAAAACTGGGTGCAACAAGTCAGTCATGACACAAATCAAAAAACATCAGCTTACCACAAAAGTGTGATTAAACGAAGCTGACATCAAGGTTTTTTCAAGTTGGTCCATTGTTTTTGATGTAAGATAACCAAAGAAATTCAATGGCCTAGAGGGTCCTTTTTTCGGACTTTCAAGCGTGTTAGATCTCATTTATGCAGCAGGACGTACTTACCAAGCATCAATGGCAACAAACTGATAACGGCTCTCGAGTTGATCGACTTGCCATGAATAAATGCCGTTGCCTTGTTCTACTAGACCAGCCTTTTGACCATGTGTTCGATAATAATTGACTCTAGATTGCCATGAAGGCAAATCAAAGCAGTCATGATTACCACGCATATCGTACCAATCCACATTCACTTTTTCTTTAATGGCCTGTTGATATACATCCCATTCGTCCACATACTGGTGAGACGTGATTCTCTTTTTATCTTTTGCATCTGTTAGATCACCTGTGACAACAACAAATTTTGGCCTAAAGAAAGTGGTCAATCGGATAATTATGAATAGCAACCATAGCCTTACTTGACAACAGGCAAAATAGATTGAATAAAATGAAAGAAATGAAATGTATGTCCTTTGGGCCTATATCTCGAGAGATGAAGATCCGTAGCCTGTATATGATAAGTTAGCATCTTATCTGTTGTATTCTTACTTACATGAACAAAATAAAAAAGATGGTTAGATTCTGTACCGAGGACGATGGTGTCGTTTTTCTGGGCTGGTAATCGTCCTAATGAACTCGGGCGTTGTTTAAATAAAGGAAACCATGAGCCTTCTGGTCTTAATTCTGTTGTAGCTGATAGAAACAACTGGAAAGCCCTTAGGGAGCATAATAGCGTGACAATGATACACAAGAGGCCTTTTTTATTCATGAATGATAAAGAGAAAAGAAAAAGAGAAACAAACAAATACTGACAACTTCTCTCTCTTTCTCTTTCTTTTTTTATATGTTGCATTGTTGGGACTTTTTTTAAGAACACGTGCATATGCTCCTTTCAATACAAACAATTGTCATCTCCTTTTTGTATTGTCAAATGCTGAAACTGATACCATCCTTATTTGTCTGAAAATAAAAATAAAAATTCGGATTTACTCTATTTGTAAAAAAAAAGAGAGAGAAGGGGTATTTATTTCGCAACAACAATAATCAGGGCCAAAACGCAGCCAACAATAGTGATAATCAACATGAAGCAACACATGTTCTTTCTTGCTCTCTTTTGATGACGGTTAGCTGTCGTCAACTCTTCTGCTGCTTGCTTTGTATTTTGAGAAATATTGAGTACATTGCCGTAAATACTCTCTATAGATAAGGTCAATAGGTGTCAATCGTATCATTCTTTTCTTTTACTTACGGATACCGCTTTCTTGTTCATTTACAAGCATACCGAGATCACGAAAGATTTCATTTAACTCGGTAATACCTTGTTCAATACCTTGAATTTCATTTTCACGTTCAGAAATCAAGGTTTCGTTGTAATCAATCTCGTTATCCAAAGCCTCAATCTGGATACGCCTTTGTGCGTCTTCCACTTGGAGTAATTGTTGTTGTTCTTGTTGAACTTCATCATCTCTGTGTGGCTTTGTTAAACTAGATCAGATATGACATGATACTTTACTCTATCTGAGACTGAAGGGCTGCTGTAGATGCCTTCTGTTTATCCACATATTCTCTTTGCTTAGAGACAGACTCTCTTTGAATATTTTGAAATTCTGCCAATACTTTCTGAAAATCTTTAGATAGTTTTTGTTGTTCCAACTTGCGTTGACGCTGTCCTTATGGATTAATAGGAGAGCCAATACACTTGTTTATTTACCGTTTGCTTTGGATCCGATGTTTGGTATTGAGACAATAGTTTAATATCTGCTGTGGTATCTTTGATTAAATCGCGTGTGCCTTCTGTTACGTCATGACTATAGCAAAGAGGTAAGTTTGTGGAAGATATATAGGATTCTTCTCTTTTACAGTTTGTTTCGAATATCAGGGGAGTCTCTTGCTGTACCCAAAAATCCAACTAGTCTTTCAATACTAGTAATATTGCCATTGATATGAAACACTTGTTGAGATACTCTTTGTGTCAAGGTCTTATAGTCACTACCATCTCATTTTCCTTTATTCTAAGTATAGCCATTCTCTTTTCTTTTTTTTTTTTATGATAGAATGATACCTTGTTGAAGTCTCTTTCTAGAAGAACTAGAGACACCTAAGCCTTGTTCTAAATCATTAAAAGACATGATACAATAAAGAAAAAAAAAAAAAAAAAAGACGAAAACGAAAGAGAAAGTATCCTCCTCCTCCTCCCCGCATTCAGATCAACATGATTGGTTAAGAGGACAAAGTCAGTTTCCGGTCCATCCGAATCTTGTTTTTTCGATTTCCACGTTCCGCAGTTCTAAGATGACACAATGTTAAATTATACAAATTCTGCTATTCACTCGGTTAAAACAAAGGTCCGATTTAATCCGGCTCTGGTTTGCATCTAATTGGTCAGAGTCTCAAAAGTATAAAAATACACCCCCTTCCCTTTCCTCTTGTTTTCTTCTTTATAGTTTCTATATACAATGACCAAAACTTCACATCATTTACTTGATACACTTGACATAGTACTTCTAGGTACCATTGGTCTTGGTACTATTGCTTGGTTTGCTAGACATCAGATTGCAAATAGACTCTTTCAATCCAATAAGTCATCTGAACCCAACACATCGACTAGTGATGAAGCCAAGTCACCCAAAAAGGAACGCAATTTTGTCAAAGTCATGCAAGAACAGGTAATGTCTACATACTACATCTATCTATATACTAAAAAAAAAAAAATTATTTAGGGCCGTAGAGTCATCTTTTTTTATGGTTCTCAAACAGGCACAGCAGAAGACTATGCTTCTCGCTTAGCCAAAGAATGCAGCCAAAAATATGGTGTCAGTGCCATGACAGCTGATATTGAACAATATGACCTCAGTTACCTTGATACAGTCCCTGAAGACTGTCTTGTGTTTTTTGTTGTGGCTACTTATGGTGAAGGTGAACCCACAGACAATGCTGTTGAATTCTGGGACTTGATTACAGACGAAGAACCTCAATTCTCAACATCAGATCGATTGGAGAACTTACGTTACATTACTTTTGGTTTAGGTAACAAGACATATGAACACTACAATGAAGTGGTTCGCAAGATTGATCATCGTTTACTTGCCTTGGGTGCCAAGCGTATTGGTGAGCGTGGTGAAGGTGATGACGATGGTTCTTTGGAAGAGGATTTCTTGGCATGGCAAGAGGAAATGTGGCCTGCTTTTTGTGAAGCATTGGGTGTAGATGAGGCCAATGCTCAATTGGGTCCCCGCCAAGCCATATTTAGTGTAGAAGAGTTGACCGAATTCGATAAAGCCAAGGTTTATTTTGGTGAATTGAGTGAATGGCTTAAGGAAGGAGCGTAAGTATGACCATGTTAGTTTCTTCCCCCCTTAAACTGACGATCTTTGCTAGTCGTGTTGTGTATGATGCTAAACGTCCTTACAATGCTCCTATTACCTCAAGAGATTTGTTCAAGAACAGCGACCGTCACTGTCTTCATATGGAAATCGATATCTCGGATACCAACTTGAGTTATCAAACAGGTGACCATGTAGCCATCTGGCCTACCAACAGTGAAGTTGAAGTTGAACGATTAGCTCAAGTGCTTGGCTTGATGGACAAACTCGATACTGTCATTCGTGTACAAGCCATCGATGCTACTGCCTCCAAGCAACATCCATTCCCTGTCCCTACCACCTACCGTGCCGTGTTCCGCCATTACCTTGACATTTGTGCTGTTGTTCCTCGTCAGACCCTGATGTCCTTGATTGAATATGCACCTACTGAGAAATCCAAAGAAGTGCTGCGTAAATTAGCCACAGATAAAGAAGAATACCGCCTGCGCGTAGGCGATATGACCCGCAATTTGGGTGAAGTGTTGGAAATGTTGGCTGAGTCTGAAAGTATGGATCCCAAGAACAGTTTTGCCAATGTCCCTTTTGATTTGATTGTCGAAGCTGTTTCTCGTCTTCAACCTCGTTATTATTCCATCTCTTCATCATCTAAAGAAGATCCTAAAAAGATCACTGTGACTGCAGTCACTTTACAGTACACACCAGATCTTTCTTCTCCTCGTACTGTCTATGGTGTCAACACAACCTATCTCTGGCGATTACATGAAGCCATCAATGGCCTTGAACCTGATACTGTGTCTCCTCGATACTACCTTGGGGGTCCTCGTGATGGTCTGTTTGATGTCCAAGCCAAGCAAGCCCGAGTGCCTGTCCATGTGCGTCGTTCTCAATTCAAATTACCCCGTAATCCTACTGTGCCTATTATTATGGTGGGTCCTGGTACAGGTGTTGCTCCCTTCCGTGGATTTGTTCGTGAACGTGCACTTCAAAAGAAAGAAGGCAAGCCTGTAGGCACCACTGTCTTGTTCTTTGGTTGTCGTCATTCTGAACAAGACTTTTTGTATGCTGATGAATGGCCTGAACTATTCGAGACATTGGGTGGTGATTCTCGCCTGATTACTGCATTTTCACGTGAGACAGATAAAAAAGTCTACGTTCAACATCGTCTTTTAGAACATGGTCAAGCCATGTGGGATCTGTTAGAGAAAGGCGCTTATGTCTATGTCTGTGGTGATGCTAAAGTGATGGCTCGCGATGTCAATCAAACCTTTGTTCAATTCGCTAAAGACTTGGGAGGCTTAAATGAAGCAGAAGCACAAGATTATGTCAAGAACTTAAGAAACACGGGTCGCTATCAAGAAGATGTTTGGGCATAAACAAATGTACATATTTAGAATAAAAGAAGAAGCTCATAGATTATTTAATTTCTTTTCCATTTCTAAAAAGGCTTTCATGGAAGGATCCATGTCTTGTACTTGAGGTTGTGTGTCTAATTCAGCAGGAATGGGTTGTCCTGCCTGTATAAATCTATCTTTGATTTCTTTGTTCTTTGCAGCATAGTCTTCCATGTCTTCTTGATAAAGATCCCATACACTATTGCTAAACATGAGACATTGATCATCATCATTACTCTGATTTACCAATGAACACACCCACTTTGTTGAATCGTTAGTTTCACTGTTTGTGCTATACATGTCTTTACCTCATACAGCAATTATCAGGTTCCAATGGTTTCTGAGGTAGTGGTATAGGCTGATTATTGAGATAGACAATGGTGGGTTTAGGTGTCTCTTTATTTGTTTCTTCAAGTTGTGGTACTGGCTCAAAGGGTATAGAGAGTGGCGTTTTTGTCAATGTCGACTCATTGGCATTCTTCAACACAAGATCCCACCATCCACTGTAATTAGGTATTCGCTTACAAGATCGTATCCAAGACATACAAGAAAGAAAGAAAGAAAAAAAAACAAAAAAAAATTTATTAGCATGGGGGGTATCATTTCAATGAGAAGCAGGTGAGGTACATTGATCTATAGAACATACACTTGAACTTCTTTCATATCGACCAAGAATAAACCCATCTTCTGCAAAAGTACTGTGGTTATTCCATAATTTAGCTACTTCTGCAGTCATTCTGGTCATATAAAGACAACCTTGTTTAATTGATTTGGGCCAAGAAAAGTCTTCTTCTGTTGAAATAGCACGAATAAATGACATGACGCTCACAATAGCCTATGAAACCTAAGTGGGGGAGTTTTCTCTCTTTTTGTATTGCTTACCTTTAAATAAATACTAGTATCTTCCCATATAAGTCGACTGGATTCTTTTCGAGTAGGTAATAATAGCAGCTCTTCTTTATTATTTCCCATGTTGGCTTCTACATTCTTGTCTAATCGATTGGATAATTCAGTAGCATAATGAACTTGTCTTGTTAGTTCAGTCAATTTCTGTTTTAGACTGCTGGATATAGTTGTCTGTAATGTATCTTCTATCGTCTGTTGAAGGGTGGTGAATACATGCAATGAAGTAGTAATGGCATTTCTTAAGTGTGTATACAGTTGTTGATTGTTGTCTATAGGCGAATGAATAGTATTCACAGGTGAATGGACCATAGTCTCGCTAGGATGTCGATTTGATTTGAACGAAGTGAGTGTCTGAATAGGATCGATAGTCAATAATGGCTTGAGTACAAGCCAAGTCTCTTTCATATCGACAGTGGCACTATAGAGATTGATTAGCAAGTTCCTTGAAAACTTGGTATCCAATCCTTGTACAACTGTCGATAGCCTTGTTCTAAGTACCCAACAGAGTTCTTTAAGGACAAGGATACATTGACTTGTTGCCTGTACTAAATCATATGAACATTCAGGTCGTTTTTCCACCACATCAAGTACAGACAACAGCTTGTCAGTGCTTGACTTGGACTTGTGCAAGATAGGCGAAAATGCAGCATATAGACTCTCATTGCCAATACAGTTCATACATCGCGTGATGGTACGCTGTAGTGTGGTTGTGGTGAACAAGATGGTCTGAGATGCTTCCATCAGACTCTTTTGAGTAGATTCGGTATTATTGCTGTTTGTTTTCTGAATAGGTGCAGGTAAGTCATTCTTTGTTGTATCTGCATGAAGCGGCTGTATTGGTTTCTTCATCAAAGCTGAAAAGAAAAAAAGAGGGGAGGGGAGGGGGGAAATTCAATATGAACACGGCAATAAGAAATACATGCAAGCATTTCCTAATTAAGAAGTCCTGATGAAGACAATAGATGACGTACTTTGAATAAATATCTCCCCTTATTTTTTTCTTTTTTATGAATGTATGCCTGTGCCATATCCATAGGAATTAGACTATTTTATTCAATGTATGATATAAGTAGTTAATCTACTGATGAATTTAACTATAAAATATATCAAAAATACAAATCATCAAAATGAATTGATAAAATATATGTGTTTTTTTAATCCTTTAAAGTCAAAGAACAATGTACGTTTGTTTGACATCTATTGACGGAGATAATAAAATTTAGTGATAATCGGAGTTGGCGAAAATAGCGCATGGCAATTAGAGTAAGACCAATATCTAAAAAAGGAAAATTGTGTCACATGACCTCTTACAAATAAACAACCCGGTTTTCGATCATATAAATAAAATGGAAAGAAAAGGAATCGTTTTCTTTTGTTTCTATAGACCATTTTCTTATATACATATATAGTATTTTAAGACAAGTGCTTATTTTAATGGAAGTGGAAACAATATCAATTGTTATTTTCATCCTTGGAGGGTTTATCCTTTTATTCGGATTGACTTCTCTAGTCATTAAAGAAAGATTGTATATATCAGAAGCATGTATGTTTAAATATAAGCTAGCATTGATTTTTAAGGTTTCATTAGCTGTTGCTATTGCGTGTGGTATTATCTTTGGTCCTCTTTGTGCTAATTTCATCAATGTCGAATCTTGGGGAGATGAAGATATGATTACCAAACAATTTTGTCGAATTGTTATTGGTATTCAAGTCATGGCAGTAGGCGTTGCTCTTCCTAAAGCTTATTTGCGTAAAGAGATTGTATCACTCGCGATGCTACTTTTGCCTATCATGATTTATATGTGGCTCATGAGTGGTTTGCTTGTATGGGGATTGATTCCTGGTGTTAATTTTGTAAGTTATAGTTCATGTTCAATAGCTAATTGACTAACTTATCTATAGCTTGAATCACTCATGATTGCTGCTTGCTTTACCCCTACAGATCCTGTAAGCAACATAAAATATCTCTTGTATTTATCTAAGCAAACAATAGGTTCTAGCAAATTCAGTTGTGCAAGGTAAATTTGCAGAAAAGAAAGTACCTGCCCATGTTCGTAATCTCATTTCTTGTGAAAGGTAAACCCCTTCAAAAAAAAAAAAAAAAAAAAAAAAAACTGTTTTCATTGACTGACCTTGTTCTATGCAGTGGCGCCAATGATGGTCTTGGTTATCCCTTCTTATTCTTGGCTATCTATTTACTTCAAATGAACACGGGAGCTGCTATTGGCAAATGGGCCTATTGGATTATGGCTTATAATATTCTTTTATCTTTTGTCATTGGATTTGTTGTGGGCTATGTTGCAAGAAAACTCTTGAAATTTGCTGAGCAAAGGTAAGGAACCGTGTTTGCTTGTCATGAAATTCATTTCTTTTTCTCTTTTAGGAAACTGATTGATAAGGAATCATTCCTTGTGTTTGCTGTAGCATTAGCAGTAAGTCAATCGACAAATAATAAGAAGAGTAACACCTTTTTTTTAGTTGTTTCTTATGGGAGGTGTTGGTCTGATTGGTAGCGATGATCTTTTTGCTTGCTTTATTGCTGGCAATTCTTTTACTTGGAATGATTGGTTCCGAGTAGAGACTGAGCAAGCACATTTGATGGAAGTAAGTAACTTTCTCTCTCGTCACAATGGGATAGATGACTTATTTGTTTTAGGTCATTGATATGCTACTCAATCTTAGTATCTTTGTTTATATCGGTGCTACTATTGTAAGTATGATACAATAGATACAGTTGATCTAATTTACTATAGCCCTGGTCTTCATTTTCTGATGCAGCTATTCAAATTACTGCTTGGCGACTTGTTGTCTTGGCCATCCTGGTCCTGTTGCTTCGTCGACTTCCTATCGTTCTCACACTGTATAAATACATCCCTGCCATTCGTAACTGGCGTGAAGCTCTCTTTACTGGCTGGTTTGGTCCTATTGGCGTAGGCGCCATTTTTTACTATCAAGTAGCTATAGAAAGTGTACCCGAAGATGGTCCTAATGGACATGCACGTGCAGTAATGTTGCCGGTTGTTTACTTTCTTGTACTCTCGTCTGTGATTGTACACGGTATCACAGTGCCTTTGTTCCATATTGGTACATTTGCTAAACGCACCTTGACACGTACTAGTGAAAAGAGTCAGCTTCGATTGCCTGTTTACAAACCCCTATCAACGACCCAACCAAAGTTGATATGACGAATATAGCACATCAAGAAGATACCGATGCAACAGAAGACGTACGCAAACACACGACAATTAAAATAGTAACACCTCAAAGACCAGAATATACCCCTCAAGATACACCTCTAGATGATCAACATAGTATCTCCTCCACCCTGTCCTCTTCAACCCAACCCAAACACACTTAATAAACATATGTAAATAGAACGATAGAATAAATTTATTATAGTTTAGATGTGTGTCGTTTAAGTTCTTGATCAGACCAGGGCAAAAGATCAAATTCGTTTTGGTTTCTAATAGAAGGTGCAGTGACAAACGATTTCTGACGTTGACGTACATTCCAATGAAGCGACGTTTGTATGGAAGTAAACCAGTCATGATCAGCATCATGAGCACAATATGTTTCGATAGGATGAGGTGATATGGTAATCTTGATATGGTCTCCGTCTACAAGAATGTGTTGAAAAGGGTAATGACATCATATTAAACTTACGTCCAAGTTCAACTCGATTTCTACCATCAAAGCTACAGAAAGCAGTACATCTTGAACCAAAAGGAACGACAATACGTATTGTATGCTCTTTCGGTAACACGAGTGGTCTAAAACTTAATGCATGGGGTGAAATAGGTGTGATTAAGGTAGATTGCATGCTTGGATGTGTCAATGAACCACCTGCAGAGAGCTTCTTTTTTGAGTTATGGATTAAATTTGCAGGTCTTATTTACCGAATAAGCTGTTGATCCAGTAGCAGTAGCAATACAAAGTCCATCTGCTTGTACAGTGGTTAAATGTCGATTGTTACTAAACAATTCAAGTAAGGACATGTTGGCACTAGGTCCTCGATCAACGACAACTTCATTCAGTACATGATGAGTTTGTTCTGGTACAGAAATCATGTTTTCCTTTAAACCAAGAAAGACACTTCTCATCCAAGCAGTCTCATCTGTCAAATCAGAGCTATTTTCTGTTTTTAGACGATAGACTGTACAGACAAGACGCATACGCTGTACACTTTTCAATTGTCCTTCAAACAAACGACTCAATTCTTCTTTGTACGTCGTGAACAAAAAGGGAGTTAAGAAACCCAAAGAACCTAAATGAAAAGGTACGACAGGAGGTACTTTGGATTGGAATAATGACGAAGTAAACAAAACTGTACCATCACCACCCAACTATATAGTGTGTAAATAAACTTTTTTTTTTGTTTCATGTATCCACTTGCTGTGATGATTAAATTAAACAAGTCAGGTGAATCATAACAGAATTGAGGTGTCCAAAACTTCAAATGCGTCTCCCAAGCTGAATCTTGTTTTTTCAGTTCATTATAACCAAACAATGGAGCATGTTTTAAATGAGCATCAACAAAACTACTCTCAAAGACATGGTCAATAACTCACGATCTTACTCCATCTCAAAACAAGCTTACACAATAAAAGGTTTATTTTTGCCAAAACGAGGTGTAAATATGAGCCACTCAACTAGTTGACGAGTGAACAATACAAGTTTATTGTCTTTTGCTTTGGTTAAGACAAGAATTGTATTTCTATCAGGACGCCAAGGTACTTGCATAAACACAAAATTATTGATTTAGTCAGCAGAAAAAGAAAAAGAAAAAGAAAGTAGCACATTGTTTCTTTTTGGGAAATATTTTATTCACTGCAAATAAGTGGCCAATTCTGCGTATGTATGTATATTGATGCTGAGAGTATCGTCTCATAAAGAAAAAGAGAAAGAAAAAGTTTATTTATCAAAAGTATTTTATCAGTTGACTGTATTTCATCATTGTTGATTACACTTTTCATGAGGTATATTTATGACAATTTAGTTATTACAGGGTATCAGTGATTTGACTGAGCCCATTTAAACAAAAGACGAGTACGCGAGATTGTATAACCAAACAAGGAGAGCGTAAAGTCTATTTATACATAGTCAGGCTTGTTGAATGCCCAAAATAGCACCTGATAACATACAGGATACCTCTGGAATTGATGTGGGCCAAAAAAAAAAAAAAAAAAAAAAAAAAAGCAACTTGTAAAATTTGACCAAAAAGACCTTTCGACCAAAGGGTGGTACTCACAAAAAAGGCTCGTTTGACAACGTTTGGTTTTCTTTTTTACGCTACAGGGTGAGAGATAGAGCTATCAACAAGCTTAGATACTCAAAATATGAGCCAGACGCTCTAGTTCCTGATGCATGTGTTTACTGGCCAATTGTACGATGAAAATAATGAGATATGAGCGAAAAACCTCAAAAATATTTTTGCCTCTTTGCTTAGAATTTTACTAGCAAATTTGCTGAGTTCTTTGCATCAATCGAGTCAAAACCAAAGATCTACAACTTTGGTTACTGCACCAAAGCCTAATAACTGCGTCTTTGTACAGTTTCAAGCAAGAGCTCAATTTTAGAAGCGGCAGGAAGGAGAACTGAATCACCTTTATTTCAATTTCCAATACCATCTATTCTGCATATCCTTAGTCCATTTTCTCCATATTCACATCATAATGTGCCTCTGCTTTGATGCTTCTATGTCTTCTGGCGCTCAGAGTAGCAGCAAATGCTTTAGAAAGATCAGTTGCTAGCACGTTTTGTATAACATCTAAAGCGAAAATGCTCAAAACACAGCTTAAATGCACCACTCTTGACATAGTAGCTCTGTTATTATTAACGGGACTCATAAAGTGATACTTAGAGCTAAGAAATACATTAGCATTGGCATTGACAGATATCTAATAGTTTATTATTCAAATTCAGGTCAGACCGTTTGCTTGGCTGAGCTGACAACTTTCTCTAGAGACATCTCTCTTGATTACTCCTGATTTGATAAGTTAATCCGTGGTCAATAAGCTAGTCCTAAACAATATTTGACCAAGGAGAAGAACAAGCAGTAATTGAAAATCATCATATTTTTTTGAAACAAAACCCTACACAAGTTCCAACGGACTTTCTCTGTGTTCTTACTTTTTCTCTTATTTTATATCTACTCTCTCTCTCTCTCTATCTCGCAACAGGTAAATGTCTAGCAACAAATGATTTGTATCTGATTATGCAGTCATTATTTTGTTGGTACAATGTCTCAAAAGTAGGTAGAAAGGCTTGGATATCAACCTATCAATCACATTGAACTGATTGCAGATTGACTGTCTCATCTAATGCAAATCCTTGTATAGTAGTAATCAATGAGCTATCTGGACCAATTCTACTATCACTACAGCGTAAATGATGGAAGAAATCTTCCATTAAATGTAGAAAAAAAAATCCATCAAAAGCTGAGGAATTCTTTACTCATTGAAGGAAATTCTTGGCCAAATATTCATTCAAAAGAAGAATTTTTCTTCCATCGATGAAAAAAAAAAAAAAACGCAACCGGTTACGCTGTGATGAGAGTGTATTTTTTTAAGCCTAAAAATAACTGTTTTTCAGAACTGTTTTTCTGTTGATACAAATAGCATATTTGTGCATTGGTAGTAACCTTGTCAAATTCATACTCAAAGTTTGTTAATTTATTAACTTTATGGAAAAGATCCTTTTGAACACATGGCCCAATGTGGTCTTTGACTGCTCGAACTCGTCCAATTCATAAGAATGGATATACTAAGCTAGAAATATCTTAAGATAACAAGGGCAAAAAAGGGATAAATAGAAAAGTGCTGATTTGATGGTGTGTCTGGGTGTGGGTTTGTAACCAGAAAAGAAACGGAACATTTGGTTGGATGTTGGAAGGAGTATGTTGCTTGCGGTAGCATTTTACATAGAGGTGATTTGGGATAGAGTCAAATTTATAGAGGTCCATTTGGTACTCCAATAAAGTACAAAGCAGGCATTCTTGAGTGCGTTTGTGAGGAAACAGCTTACAAAATTCTGAGAGACAAAGGGCTTGGCCAAGGGCACTTTGCATTCGCTAAAACCACCTTGAGCAGTGCCTAAAGACGATTTTTGGCCTTCGAGGAGTTTCTTGATGCATTTTATGGACATAATATCGAGACTAACTAGTTAGTAATTGTCTTGTCAGTCGGGTTGCCTTTCTTATGACTTAGGACTACTTGTTCGACTCGTCAACAGTAAGGCATGTATGGCCAATGCCAACACAGATCAGAAATATGAAGAATCAGAGGGCCTCTAAAGCTTTTGATATGCATGCAAAAAGTAAACCTAGAACCATAAGAGCATCACAGTAACAGTTGTAGACGTCAGGAACTCCTCATGAATGTAATGAATTTACAGAAAAATATATAATGTATTTTAAACTACACTAAATTTATGCCGATTTACACATATGCCACTTGTCTACTCAAAAAAATAAAAACCACTTTTTAAAATACATCCAAGATATTTTCTCTAGTGATGAAAAATAAAAAAAAAGCAGAAGATTTTAGTTTTTCTATTTTAAATAAATGAACAAGTCTACCAGATGATGATTTTACTCTTTTAGTTTAGAGAAGAGGTTACTGCCTGGTAGATTCGTTTTTTAATTCAAAACTAAAAAATCGAAAAATAAGCTTTTTTTTTTATTAATTTTAAGCAGAAAAATTATAAATTTTCTACTTTTTTTGTCATTGTAAAAAAATATTTTTGATTTATTTTAGAGTAATGGTTTTAATTTTAAAATAATGTTTTTTTTTATTGTTTTTCAGAAAATATTTTTTTGAGTACACAAATGGCATATTTGTAATTTCGGCATAACTGTTAATATTTTTATTAATTTTGAAAATGCTTTTTTTTTGTAAGTCTATTGCACTGATCACGAAGGCCTGAGACCTAAGAGCCTTTGTATAGTTTCCCCATCGATCTAGCTATCTTTCTCGTAGAGTTAGCACTACAGCATAAGTGATAGAGGAAAAATGCAACCGCTGACGCTGTGGTGTATGATTGCCATAGCTGCTATGGGCACTACGGTTTCTATGCTTACTATGGCTGTCGTAATCACTTTGCTGCCTCAGGGAACCTGGTCAAAAATTGATGAGAAAAAGTGTTCAAGACAAAGCTCAGATTGCTGGAGTTGTCATTTGGGATGTAAAGGCGCTGTTGATGTCTGACAGCTGCTTTCCAAATAGGATCTTTAGCTGCCGCTTGCTTGATTAGAGTATGATAAAATTTATTCAAAGAAAGGGTGTAGCTGACTTGTGAGCCCAGTTTCAAATAAAAAATTGAAACTAATATCTTGAAGAAAAGTATCATGCGCTGGCTGAATAAGTTTAGATGCTGAACCATACCTTTCTTATTCTATTTTTCTGACCCGAGCATAAATTTTGGTGTTCAGAGCCACTTCCTAAAGATTGCGATAACTCTACGAGAAAGATAGCTAGATCGATGGGGAAACTATACAAAGGCTCTTAGGTCTCAGGCCTTCGTGATCAGTGCAATAGACTTACAAAAAAAAAGCATTTTCAAAATTAATAAAAATATTAACAGTTATGCCGAAATTACAAATATGCCATTTGTGTACTCAAAAAAATATTTTCTGAAAAACAATAAAAAAAAACATTATTTTAAAATTAAAACCATTACTCTAAAATAAATCAAAAATATTTTTTTACAATGACAAAAAAAGTAGAAAATTTATAATTTTTCTGCTTAAAATTAATAAAAAAAAAGCTTATTTTTCGATTTTTTAGTTTTGAATTAAAAAACGAATCTACCAGGCAGTAACCTCTTCTCTAAACTAAAAGAGTAAAATCATCATCTGGTAGACTTGTTCATTTATTTAAAATAGAAAAACTAAAATCTTCTGCTTTTTTTTATTTTTCATCACTAGAGAAAATATCTTGGATGTATTTTAAAAAGTGGTTTTTATTTTTTTGAGTAGACAAGTGGCATATGTGTAAATCGGCATAAATTTAGTGTAGTTTAAAATACATTATATATTTTTCTGTAAATTCATTACATTCATGAGGAGTTCCTGACGTCTACAACTGTTACTGTGATGCTCTTATGGTTCTAGGTTTACTTTTTGCATGCATATCAAAAGCTTTAGAGGCCCTCTGATTCTTCATATTTCTGATCTGTGTTGGCATTGGCCATACATGCCTTACTGTTGACGAGTCGAACAAGTAGTCCTAAGTCATAAGAAAGGCAACCCGACTGACAAGACAATTACTAACTAGTTAGTCTCGATATTATGTCCATAAAATGCATCAAGAAACTCCTCGAAGGCCAAAAATCGTCTTTAGGCACTGCTCAAGGTGGTTTTAGCGAATGCAAAGTGCCCTTGGCCAAGCCCTTTGTCTCTCAGAATTTTGTAAGCTGTTTCCTCACAAACGCACTCAAGAATGCCTGCTTTGTACTTTATTGGAGTACCAAATGGACCTCTATAAATTTGACTCTATCCCAAATCACCTCTATGTAAAATGCTACCGCAAGCAACATACTCCTTCCAACATCCAACCAAATGTTCCGTTTCTTTTCTGGTTACAAACCCACACCCAGACACACCATCAAATCAGCACTTTTCTATTTATCCCTTTTTTGCCCTTGTTATCTTAAGATATTTCTAGCTTAGTATATCCATTCTTATGAATTGGACGAGTTCGAGCAGTCAAAGACCACATTGGGCCATGTGTTCAAAAGGATCTTTTCCATAAAGTTAATAAATTAACAAACTTTGAGTATGAATTTGACAAGGTTACTACCAATGCACAAATATGCTATTTGTATCAACAGAAAAACAGTTCTGAAAAACAGTTATTTTTAGGCTTAAAAAAATACACTCTCATCACAGCGTAACCGGTTGCGTTTTTTTTTTTTTTTCATCGATGGAAGAAAAATTCTTCTTTTGAATGAATATTTGGCCAAGAATTTCCTTCAATGAGTAAAGAATTCCTCAGCTTTTGATGGATTTTTTTTTCTACATTTAATGGAAGATTTCTTCCATCATTTACGCTGTAGTGATAGTAGAATTGGTCCAGATAGCTCATTGATTACTACTATACAAGGATTTGCATTAGATGAGACAGTCAATCTGCAATCAGTTCAATGTGATTGATAGGTTGATATCCAAGCCTTTCTACCTACTTTTGAGACATTGTACCAACAAAATAATGACTGCATAATCAGATACAAATCATTTGTTGCTAGACATTTACCTGTTGCGAGATAGAGAGAGAGAGAGAGTAGATATAAAATAAGAGAAAAAGTAAGAACACAGAGAAAGTCCGTTGGAACTTGTGTAGGGTTTTGTTTCAAAAAAATATGATGATTTTCAATTACTGCTTGTTCTTCTCCTTGGTCAAATATTGTTTAGGACTAGCTTATTGACCACGGATTAACTTATCAAATCAGGAGTAATCAAGAGAGATGTCTCTAGAGAAAGTTGTCAGCTCAGCCAAGCAAACGGTCTGACCTGAATTTGAATAATAAACTATTAGATATCTGTCAATGCCAATGCTAATGTATTTCTTAGCTCTAAGTATCACTTTATGAGTCCCGTTAATAATAACAGAGCTACTATGTCAAGAGTGGTGCATTTAAGCTGTGTTTTGAGCATTTTCGCTTTAGATGTTATACAAAACGTGCTAGCAACTGATCTTTCTAAAGCATTTGCTGCTACTCTGAGCGCCAGAAGACATAGAAGCATCAAAGCAGAGGCACATTATGATGTGAATATGGAGAAAATGGACTAAGGATATGCAGAATAGATGGTATTGGAAATTGAAATAAAGGTGATTCAGTTCTCCTTCCTGCCGCTTCTAAAATTGAGCTCTTGCTTGAAACTGTACAAAGACGCAGTTATTAGGCTTTGGTGCAGTAACCAAAGTTGTAGATCTTTGGTTTTGACTCGATTGATGCAAAGAACTCAGCAAATTTGCTAGTAAAATTCTAAGCAAAGAGGCAAAAATATTTTTGAGGTTTTTCGCTCATATCTCATTATTTTCATCGTACAATTGGCCAGTAAACACATGCATCAGGAACTAGAGCGTCTGGCTCATATTTTGAGTATCTAAGCTTGTTGATAGCTCTATCTCTCACCCTGTAGCGTAAAAAAGAAAACCAAACGTTGTCAAACGAGCCTTTTTTGTGAGTACCACCCTTTGGTCGAAAGGTCTTTTTGGTCAAATTTTACAAGTTGCTTTTTTTTTTTTTTTTTTTTTTTTTTTTTGGCCCACATCAATTCCAGAGGTATCCTGTATGTTATCAGGTGCTATTTTGGGCATTCAACAAGCCTGACTATGTATAAATAGACTTTACGCTCTCCTTGTTTGGTTATACAATCTCGCGTACTCAGTGATTGCACAACATAAATGGTAAACAATAATGTTTATTAGATCTTTGAACTTAAACTGTTAGTTATCTTGCGTTTGGCTCCGGCTTCAAGAGGAGAAAGTCGATCGAGATCAAACAAATATAACTCATCTTGATCTGGATATTGATTTAACGCAACTTTGACTGTATAATCAACTCTTAGTTCCTAAGAAACGTCAAAAAGTAGTTCTTATTTCGATCTTTGTTCCTTACTTCAAAGCTTTTGATATGAACAGAGCAAATAGGACAATGCCAAAGTTTGATTTCCGCATGTTGATCAAAAAACGGAACTGCATCAAAGCAAGTACGATGTCGACAATGAATACTCGTTGTAGGATGCTTTATTCGAGTCTTGGTGACAGCATCTAAGAGAGAAATAATTTCTACAAAGTCTTCTTGATCGTATTCCTCTTCGCTTGATGTCTCTACTGCTGCATAACCATTATTGTCGAGATAGGCCATAAAGGCAGCTTCCGCATTTTTTAATTTGTCTTGTATATTTTCTGCCTTGTGGTATTCTTTTAACAGATCAATGGCCGTTTGCTGGGCCTTTAATGGAGAAGTACTTTTCCGAATACCACGAGCAATGCAGCCTGTCATGGTCTGTAAATAAAGCTCGCATACAAGCTACAAGCATGTAAGTCATCGATCTATATCAATGCGTATATACACTATACTTGTTCTGTAGACTTTTTTGCCACACAAGAGAAGGATATGTGACTGATGTTGTGCTCATTGTTATCTACCAATTCAACTTGAAGTGTCATAATATTTCTGTTTGAGTTGGGTTTAGAATTTTCTGTACCACCATGCAAATTGAATGCATGATTTAATGTAAACCTCGAGCTTTTACTAGAGAGGCAATAAATCAAACTTTCTGTTATATCGATATGCATAAATCCTTCTGCCACTAATTTCTATCAAGCAAGATGTATCAACAAATAGTTGATTTTAATGGGACTTACTTTTTGTCTATCATTCCAAATTTCGTATGAATCAAGACGTAAAGAAGTACATTGTGGCTTTATCAAAGTCCGTGTTGAATTCCAAAAGCATAAATGATATTCCTTTTGGTCTTCTTGATGATAGCGAGCTATGTGTATTCGTTCCATTGATTTTTTGAGTACTGAAATAGGAATATCAACAGAACAAGTAGGATTATCTTGATCTTGCCAGTCAACATCTATTCGATATACTTCATCTAATCGATCATACACTTCTGTTGTTGGCACTGAATCATAAGCCAAAGGATCTAGTCTTCCTGTTTGTTTTTCCCGACTTTTTATTATTAGTGTTACTGCTATTATTTTATCAACCTTACCATTCTCGATAATCTGCATAAGCAACATTCTTAGCTCTACATGCAGGATAGCCCGGGTAGATTGTGTGTAAAAGATATTCAGCCAATTCATGAGTTTGCAAGGATTCAATGTCAGGTTCTTTATCATGAGTCAATCGGTGGCTTGACAAGTAGCTATAAATTTCTTCCAATTTGCGCTTTCGTAAACGAAATAGACTAATGGGAATCTAAAGATATATTTATATCCGCTGTCATCATACACTTGGGACTTACAATGCCTTGATCTGTGACATTCTTCAATTGTCTGAGTCCTGCAAGTTGGCCTAATTCTCGGGATTGTTGAGCTATAAGAATATTCGGTTTTTGCCGTAATCTTCTTCTCTTGTAAGAAGTAATGTTTATCATGCTCTAATTAAATAAAAAAAAAAAAGTAAAGAAAAAATGAATATTAAGAAATACAATTTCATTTGTTCTTAATTGTCTTAGATCAGTGACTGGCTTAGATATTGATTTTGTTGTCTAGTTTGCATTGTCTAAAAACATTTGATGTAGTACCAAACGATAATCATTTGTCTAACAAACAAATCTATTTATTTCTGAGATTTGTGATTGTTTGATCTAATTCAGCTTTGATTCCAATTCAAACAACGATGATTGGGCAATTACGTTATTTTCTGCTCTTATTTTCAAGTGCTAAAGATGGAGAAGACTGTGAAAGGAAAAAAAAAAAATAGGCCTCCGCAAAAGTGTAATTTGTTCTAATTACAAGTCAGCATCACTGGTCCCTAAAAAAAAAAACGCGCTTTCTTTTTTTCTTCTTCTTTTTTCTTCTCTCAACTTTGAATAGTTCATAAACAAGAAATAATATCCACCCCTCTCTCTTTTTTTCTTTTTTTTTCATATGATTACCAGCACAACTATTACCACTAATACGAATAATACTACGACAGATGATATTATGACCTTATCATCAATGACACCTTCCTCTCCTACTTCTATTGCTGAAACATTATCCCAAATGCCTGAACTTCAACTCAGTATCAATGATTTGTTGCACCCTACAGAATCAGCTGAGAATTTGTTAGAGTCGTTATCTACTGAGCAATTAGATATCATTGAACAAGCAGTGATTAAAATAAAAGAACGCAAGCTTGGAAGCACGCAGGCAACCAAAGAAGATGGTAAAAGACACATTTTTCTTATTTGTCTAATTAACATCTATGATAGCCTATAAGAACAATGACTGGAATCTATCTATGGTTGCTCAATCGTTAGCAGAAGCGATATCAGCATCAAATCAAGAATCAAGCAACAACTCTGATGACCCACAATCTGTCATGGACACAACACCAACACCAACACCATCAACACCATCATCCAAATCAAAACTTGTACAAAAGACCCCAAATGGCTCTAAAGCATCAGCCAAGCCACCCACTACAACAGCGCCATCCACTTCGCCTTTCTTATCCAATCATGAACCTACGACTGAATTGAGAGAAGGTGTTGAATGGGTCAGTTTTGTTTATTCACATCATCGCACCTTGCGTAGATATTGTATTCGTACCGACCTTGATAAAGTGGACACCAGTTTATTAGATGAGAAATTTAAAAAGGAAAATTGTGTAAGTTCCGAAAAAAAAAAATCCCTTCTCTCTAAACGGTGATATGAATAGGTGTATCCTAGAGCTAATCTGCCTAGAGAGACATATCGCGGCAATCGTTGGTCATATGAGACAGAGTGTAATTTGTTGGGATGGAAATTGGCATATTTGAATTTAGAAGAAATTGCAGGAAAAAGAGGATTAATTCAACGTGCTGTGGATTCTTATCGTAACCGATATCCAAGCATGCGATCACGACGTGTAGCTAGACAAGAAAAGCTACTTAAGGGGACACTACGCAAACGTAAACATCGTGAAATATCCAATACAAATCCAGATGACGAAGATCAAAGCAACAAATCAACCAAAACACAGCATGAACACACTGAAAAGACACCTAAGACTATTTTGATTGAAGAAATTGGATCAACATCTAAATGTCGTATTCGAATCAACATTGAGTCTGTCGTATTAGATGCAATTGATATGGCATTTAGAAAAAACAACTGCGTATTTCCAAGAGCCATCCTTATTACACCAGACATGCCTAATTTAAGTCAGCGCCGATTAGATGAAATCAAATGTAATGAAATTGGCTGGAAATTAGCTTGGTTAAACCCTCGCCAGCTAGCCAATAAAAAAAACTTGTTGCAACGTGCTTTGGATACTTATCGAAATCAGTTTGCACCTGATTTAAAGCCACGTAAATATGCATCTCGTGTTCCTCCTGCACCTCCTGCCCCCAAGAAGGAACAAGTCCCCAAAGAAGCTAATGAAGAAACGACTCAGCAGCAAGAAAAAATACTGCTAACTGCTGAAGCACTGGCAGAACAACAAAAAGAATTTACTAATGAATCACCCGCAGCCCGTCGAGACTCTACAGCAGGTCAATCATGTTATTCAGGGACCACAGTAACGCTTGATTTTCATGATTATTGTTTCTCCCCACCACCTGAAGAAGACGCCGATATGGCATGCGAAGAAGATACCACCACAACCACCACAACCACCACAACCACTTTGCATGACTTATCGACTGCTGCTAATAGTCCTATTTTTCCTCCTACTTCTGCTATTTTTGACGAATTAATACTGGCTACGATGTCGAATGGCAAAGATATGCTTCTTGGTAACAGTGATAGCCTTTTAGCTAGCGGTAGTACTAGCAGCATGGATGAAAGCACTTCGTCTTATCAGACTACTCCTAGTCCACAAGCCTTGTTCACTTTGAGTGAAATGTATCAACAAGCATTCCTCATGAGCTCATCATCTGATGGTACACCCAATGACAGCTTACTAGATAATAGCAACACCAACAAGGAAAATATGTTCTTAATGACGGATGAGACAGAAAATAGTCATGTCATTGATTTAATCACTAAATTTGGAACCGTCGATGCAGGCATAGGCAGCTTCACTAACACAAGCACAACCCATACTTCGACAACTGATTCTTCTTTATTGGGTCAATTATTTTAAATGTGCAATAAAATAGACAGTTAGTAACCTTGTGATAAGTTTTTCCCGCCTATTTTATGATCACATTTCTTCATTTTTTATTCTTTTATCTTTTTAATGTCAATTGAACTGGACCTTCCTAGTTGTTCATTGTTGGCTGCTCTATGCGTTGCTATTGCAGTGATCGTCTTGAAATACAGTAATCAACCTGACACTCATCCTCGTATGTTATGTTATCAAAGCGAATTCTATCCTGCTTCATGCTCTGGTGAAAGTGCTATTATCAGATCAAAATTGTATCCTAAAGGGCCTCCATCTCTGTCGACAATTGAAACTCTAAGCGGTTTTTATCACACTTGCTTATCGAGAAACAAAGAAGGAAAGCAACTGTTTCTTGGAGCACGAGCCAATAGACAGAGCACCATTCTTTGGGTAAGAACTGAACGAAAAACTTTATTTACTAAAACTTAAAATGATAAAGCATAGCTATGGAAAGTATATTTCTTCAATGCAATTTGCTTAACGAATGAATAGATAATGCACTGGAGCGAGTCAAACACATTTACTCTGGCTTGATTTGCAAGACAAACTTAAGACCATGTACAGACAAATCATCTTCATTTTTGGGTATTTATGCATCATGTTCCCCAGGTAATACTAAATCGGTTTCACACCGTATGCTTATATTTTTCTGAAGAGGTTTATATGACCGAAATAGGAAAGTACTCAAAAATTGGTATTATAATAATGACATCTAGACAGCTTGTCATTGGGGTGGCCTTGTGACAGTGCCAATTGCTGCTCAGGCTATATCATCACATATACTCCATGTGATACGGAATGCTGGCTTGAGTGTTTTGATGATCGACGATACTCATTTGGAATTCATTTTGGACCTTATTTTAGGCTCAAGTATTACGCATATTATTGTCATTACTCACGAACAGCAGAGCTACAGGGAAATGGAACCACTTTATGGTATAAAAATCTTTTCTTTGTTTGATCTAGAGAAAATAGGTCAAGAATATGTCATTGAGAGACACAAGAAAATCTGTAAGCCTTTTTTTGTTGTTGATGCACAGACTAACATTTATATATATATAGCACCTGACTCGATTGCGAGTATATACTATTCCAACCCCAAACATAATGTAAGTGCAACAATGACTAGTGAACCATGATCCTTATTACTGTTGTATCCTAGACATTCAGTGATCACACAAATCGACAAGAAGAAAAGTCTTTGGGTGTCGTTTTGACACATAAAGTAAACATCTTATTCTAAAATTTGTTTCTATACTAATCCTCTGCTGTAGAATATAATGTCAGTGATAGGTAAGTTACTTTATAGTTACAGTATATCACTTGACAGAGTACAATTAGCGAGTTATCTTGTTCATTTTCCCTCGAGTCACAAGGCAACACCTAAGGATAGACTTATGCATAGCTATTCAATTGGTATTTCTAGAGTAGATAATACAATGAATAACCTGTATATGCATAGACAACATATTAGGATATGTTTTTGAAGCTGTCATTTGTTATGCAGGTGGTTCTGTTGTATTTGAAGACAAGGTTCTGTTAAATGAATTTAACCTAGACACATCATTAATACTTCCAGCCATTTATGAGTCAAAGCCAACAATTTACGCAAGGTAATGCAGAAAAAATAACATAAAGAACTCACGTTCTAATGTTAGTGGTGGCCCATTTTTGAGACAAATTCAAAAAACAATAGAAAGCAAATACGGTAACTCATTTCTCTATCATCGAGGACTAGATAGAAAATGTCGATATCACAATCAAGGGAAAGTGGTGTCAGACTGTATTTACGATATGCTTGTGTTTAGAGATATTCGACAACGCATGTTTGGAGGCAGTATACGGGTTTTGCTGGTAGAGGATGACGATGCTCCTAAAACTGATATATGTACATTCTATCGGGCTGTTCTAGGTGCTCAAGTCATCAAGACTTTCAGTCGTCCTGAAATGAGCTCAAGTATGGTTGCGACCATTGTCTATGATTATACACATGATAAGCGTGCCATTGGAGCTCCTTTAGCCTGTTCAGAGATCAAGCTGATTGATACGAAAGAATATACTGTAAAAGATGTGCCTCATCCAAGAGGTGAAATCCAAGTACGAGGAAGCCATATCTTTAAAGGCTATTGGAACCACTCAGCATTAAAAGATCAGAACGGTTGGTACTCAACTGGAATGTTGGGAGAACTACTGCCTAATGGCACGCTTATTATGCTTGGTTCAGCTATTCAACAAAATATGGATAATAATAAATAATTTAATTTACAAAATCAAGCTTTCTTTTCTGCCAAAATACGATCCCAATTCCATTGCTTACGGACGAAAGGATGAGCTTCGGTGTTAAAGATAAATTTGTCAAGAGAGATAAAATCTGGGGGCTGAACAGTAAATACAAATACTTGAGTGTCTCTGCAAAAAGGAAGCTTTCCATCGAGTCAATCTGGTTGAATCGAGGATCAAACTCGGAGGCCTCTGGAACCTTTTTATCCTCGTAAAGGTCTTCATCCCTGTCTACGTTTCGAACAACAGCATAAGCACTTTTTGTCTTGCACCACTTTTCAATGGCTTGGTAAATTTCCCATCCATATTCCTAATGTTTTGATGAGTTGCTACATTTTCCAACAATATTGCTGTCGTACCTGGTATTTTTGATCGCCTGTAAGTCGATAGAGAATGAACAAGCTCTCTAATGTCTCAGGGCGGAGGATATAACGTTTGTCGCCAAAATAAAGAGAGGATGGTCTGTTTCGTGGAGGTGAGAGTTGATAGTCCATCAAGTATTCTAGTTTTTCTTCTTCTTTTTTAATGCTTGATATGTTCATCTTTTCCTCGATAAGAGGATTGGTCATGTCAGGCTCATACCACCAATCTCGAGACTTGGATAGTTCTGATTTTGTCTTATTGAATGTCAATGGATTGTAAGGTTCAGTTTTAGTAATGACCCAACTATCAGGCGCTAATCCAGTCTTTGTTGTACGATACATAAACACACAAGTCTCCAAGAGTCCTTTTGCAATATCCATGTCTTCTGGTTCATTGAATGTCTTAGCTCCCATAGCGAGCATACCAGGTACAAAACAAGTCTGCAATAAAGGAGTGAATATTCTTATATTTTTAAGTGACCCCATACCAAATGATCCATGGAATTTAAGTGTGTCATTTCTTGGGTATCAAAAGGTGGGAGCATCAGCATATCATAACCAGGTACTTGACGAAGCATATATCGTTTCATGCTTTTAACAGAGTCTTGGTCTATACAGTATATGAGCACATGTACACATTCCGCATGAAACAAATTACATACACATTCTTCCATATTGGGGCACAGTACCATCTACTAAAAGATATTCTTTCAAAAAGTACTACATTGTCTTTTTGTTAGAAATTCATTCAATCAAAAGATAAATGTACCTCGAAGGCAGAATCACCCATGGCACCAAATGTAGAAAGAGCTTGTTTGTTTAAGTAATCCATCTTTTTTATGTTATATAACTTACTATCTAAGAATCGACCTTCTTCTGTATTAAGGGCAGTAGGATATAACCCTTTAATATACAGTCCATGTTCATACCCCATATTATCAAGGAAATTTGTAATTTCTTGTGCCTGAAAACAAAAAAAAAATGAATGGTTTTTGCTTTGTCAAATGATTTGTGTACCTTTTGACCATAAATTGGGTTTCCTGTAAGCTGAGATAGCATCATAAATTCTAATTGAACAGTTCCGACTTCAGCAATCAAGGTTCGGTCATTATCGGGCTCTTTTCTATTAATATACATGCATTACTGTCTGTTTCTGAGTTGAGAAAAAAAAACTTACAAAACTGGGTTCCAATAATGGTGGGGTAAGCCAGAAGGTGTATCAAAAGCAGGCAAAAGCTCTTGTGCTAATTTTTCGGCCTTCTGAAGCAAAACATCATTCTTTCTCTCACTGAGTTCATAAGCACTAATAAAACCGCCCAAGTAACGAATGATGGTTTCGAAGACGCTGATATTATCATTGACTTTGAAGTTGATCTTGTTGATCCGGGGTAATACGCTTTGAAATTCTTCATGAAGTTCCATCACAGCAAGTGTGCTTAGGGCGTCAACCATGGTTGCACCCCATCCGCCAAAAGGATCTTTAGACTTGTTAGAGAGTGGTTTTAGTTCATCATGTCCAAATGCATATTTTTCTATAGACTATTTTTAACAATCCATATTCATTTACATTCATTTAACACATTACTGTATCCAGACCATCCATGCACAAAAGACTGTTTGATAGCTTTTCTTCTTCTTTCTCTCAATTTGGTAAATGCCAATGGCTCCTTCTTAAAGTCGTGTTGGAGTTTAGGAAGTTTGGATAAATATCCACCAAAACCCAGCAAGATGGATTGCTTTTTAGGCGGCTGTATTTTCTTCATTGGCTCTTGTTCAAATGAATTAGTTAAAGGACGCTGATGATCAATAATTGTATCGACCTCTTTCAAGGAAACAGTGGCTGTAGACAATGATGATGGGTTTGTTATAACCCATATTTGACCTAATACTAAAACAACAGAAAGTACGAGAAGAATGACTCGCCACTTCTTTGGTATTCTTGTAGTATAGGATAGCACCATTTCCACGCTTTGTTTTGTAATTAAAAAAAAAGAAAAATAAAGAACTTCTTTCCCCTTTTGACCTTTTTTATTTGGTTTTCTCCTATTTTTAGCCTATAGGCAAAGGTCAAAGTCCATAGTGTAACATTCATTAACACATTAAAGTAACTTATTGGCTAAAATACAACAGACTTTTGCTTGAGATGCACACATATGCTGTGCTCAGGGTGTCAATTTACTGCCTTTGAATTTTATTGGTCTTGAAAGAAACAGTCGTTCTAGAGATTCAAGTTCATATATGAGCAAAAAAAAAAAGAGGGAAAGAGATACAGATAATCGCATCTTGAATAAAATTCAGAATACTGGTTTGTTTGCCTGTTCCTATCTTTAATAAAATGACTATGAACCCTCTCTTTTTTTTAAGGTTCTATAGGTTTAGTTGAAAAAAAAAAAAGAAAAGGATTGAGATATAAAGCAAAAAGATTTCATACGGTATCTTGATTTACTGCTTTTAAAATTAATTTTGAAGCAACGACTCTTTTTTTGCTTTTGTCCAAATGTTTATTATACATACTATAAAAGTAAATTTCATTGTTATTTAATTCATGAAAAGAAAGAAATCGATAAAACAAAAAACTTGTTCTCTCTTTTTCTCTTTTGTTTATAATACGAGATGGGCAGTTCAATCTCAAAAGCTAAGACATCTAACATTCAATCTAACCCCAGCCGTAAAAGCGACTTTCTTACCACATTTTCAGCATCCACAGCATCATCCAATGGAACTTTAGTTGAAGAGAAAGTATTGTTTGAACCTGCAATGAACACAAATAAGCAAGACCCCATAAAAAAAAGGTCTTCTATCTTACCTAACCATCAATTCTTTAATCAACTTTTGGGCAATAAACAAAAAAAGGGCACAAGACATTTACAGCGTCAGTTTGCTCCCTCTTTTAGAAAGAAACCGAACTATAGAAATAAACAAAAGAAGTCTGCTGTGACTAAAAGTATTATTGGAAAACCTACTAATTTTAAGGTAGTATTCTCAAGAAAGATGCATTTTATACTGAAACACTAATCTAAATTATGCATATAGCACCTTACTTCGGCAAGAGGACAATTGATTGTAGATGATCTGAATGAAGACGAGGTATGTCTTAGATACGGCCATTTCTTTATTTAATCATTTTTTAATAGGCTGCCTTGCTTGCCACTCAAATGATTGCTGTAGCCTCTTTAATTAAACCTCTGGCCACACATGAAGGTTTTCAAGAAAAGCCTAAATCGCCGCCTATGATCCCGCCTAGAACTTCCTCATATAGCAACTCTAGCTATCTACAAGATTTCCCTACACCTCCTTTCAGACAAAAAAAGATGCCTGTTTCTTCACTGAAAAAACCCATGAAGACCGAAATCAAATATGCTTCTATCAACAAATCATCTGTAGGACGTACTAAGCGTGTGTATCGCAATAGCAACACGCTAAGACAAAAGAAAAACTAAAGACCATATCTATCCCACTGCAATTGGGAAAGATCGAAACTTCTATTTTTTCTGTTTGATGTGAATGAACTCCCCACCCCTTTCATTGATTATCTTATTTTACATATGTACATATATATATATTTATTATGTATAGCTTCCCCTTCTTATACAATAATTTCTAATGTTCTACTCTAATATTAAAGTATTTATTAGTGTCATTACTACTATTACTACCTCATTCTTTGACATTTTTGTATACGTGATTTTTTAATTTTGATAAGTTTATAACCACATAACATAACATATGTTGATCAATATCCTCCTTGCTTATATCATATCATGTTTTATAATACACATACTCAGTCATATCCTATTAGTAGAGGGCCTTTCTTTTTTAAAGGAAAGTTAGATGAGTTATGCGCATTGATTCAGGGCTAAAATAATCAACCCCTTTTTTTTACAGTACAAAACATTTTTTAGTTATTCATTATTAAATTATTACTATCAAAGTTTCAATATGGGAGAAAAATCACTTATAAAAGAAGCTCAAAGTATACAAAAAAAAAAGAAAAGGACATAGATCAAAGTCATGAAGCTAACTTCTATTGCCATCTTTACTTTATCAATGACAGCTGCTTTTACTCATGCTGCTTCATTTGAGCCTCATGCCAATTCCCGGTAATATTCTTAATAACGTTTGCACATCATACACTAATATACTTATAAGCAATATTGAACAAGTCACTGCAAAGCGCTCTTTGTATTCTCGTAAAGCGATTGAAAAAAGAGTGAAAGGCGAAAGCAAGTCATCAGAAGAAGAATTTGAGAAATTGCTCAAAGAGTTTGTTGCAAAGATTGAGAAAAATAAAGCATCCAAAGCCGCAACCCCACCTACCACTGCTGAAACCGCAACTCCTGTTGCTGCTGCTCCTACTAGTCCATCCGTGGCTCAGCCTCCTCCTCCTTCTGTTATTCCTGCTGCTGGTGCTGGTGCTGGTGCTGGTGCTGGTGCTGCTCCTGTTGCTCCTGCACCTGTCAATACCGTCGCTCCTGTACCTGATACAGCCGCAGCCTCTGCGCCACCCACCTCGGCAACCACTGCTCCTGCAAAAAAGCCCAAGAAAGGTGATGATGACGATGATGACAATGATAAGGAGGAAGAAGAAAAGGACGATGACGACGATAAGAAAGAAAGCTCTGGAGATGACGACGAAGAGAAAGAAAATGATGACAATGATAAAGAAGAAGACAATGACGACAATGATAATGAAGGTAATGAGACACTAGCAAAAAGACAAAGTGAGAAAAATGATACTGACAAGAACAATGAAAAACAATCTAATTCTGAAGAGGATGAATCTGAATCTCCAGACAAAGAGGAAGATGAAGCTTAGACATGTTTATTGGCAATGCATATCTTCTTTGTTTATTAATTTTATTTTATTACATTCATCGCATGCATGTTTTTTTTTTCTATTTCGTTCATACAATAAATTAAACAAATTTGGTATTTTAATATTTTTTGTTCTTTTGCATATCGAGTATCTCTTGAATTAACGATATATCGGACCGAAATTATTACCGGTAGCTTATTTGATCTTCGGATTGAAATCGTGCCTATACCCTGGCATGACGAATTTTATTACAAACTACTTTTCTATCCACAAATAAGTAGAGTGATGCAGTAACTTGTGTATAGCTTAATGCAATGGATTGTTCAATTTACCGGGAATAGAACACAAAGCATGCGAGATGATTCGAATTGTTCTTTTTTTTTTTTTGACAGAAAAAAAGCGGTTCTATATAACTCTTTCTCTTTCGCATTGCATGCTTTCTTATAAACCTATAGCCAATGAGGTTAGAGAATTGGGTCACTACTGCTACTGCATTAACAAAATGAAATAAAAATAGGGGAGAATTTACTTAAAAGTTTTGTTGCTCAGTACCATTGTCAATCTATCTGTTGTTTGTCTTTCTATCTTTATCTCCAAATAAAGACAGACAACTTGGTCTTGTTTGATGTATCCAAACATAGACTGTGCTGTTGCTCGGTGTTATACGGAATTATGTTTGCTTTCTATCTTTTTCTTGGAAATGACATTTATGGCGCCTGAATCATGTATTTTACGTATATAAAAAGACAACTTCTTTTTTCTGGCTATTTACTAAGACTTGACAATTTTCATAGCATTTCTTTTGTCAAATTGTTATGTCTTTGTTCATGCCTTTGACTCCAGAACAATTTCATTCAAAACCTATGGCTATTTCTTCTATCACATCGCCTATTGGTACTGGTACAGCTGAATTAGTACAGTATGACAATAATATGCTATCTACAACATGTCCCTCCCCTTCTTCTTCCACTCAATCAGGCACTGTTTCTCCTCCTCCTCCTCCTCGTTCTTCCACACTTCTCTGCACAAAAACAAATTCTGTGTCTCCTCCTTTAGATGTGTATCCCAATTATTCTTCGTCTTCTTCGTCTTCATCTTCTATATCCGGATCACCTAGCAGCCTCCCTATGGCAGATAAAAAAAACAACTATTCCGGTAGTAAAATGCCTTCTTTGCTTCAACCTTCCATTATGTCCTCGACTTCCTATTTTCATCCGTATCACCATCATCATCATTCCTATACACATAACAATAATCACTGCATTCCGCCATCTACGTCAACACCTCTTTCTTTGGATGAGCGCCGTTTGAGAAATAAGACTGCGTCAGCAAAATACAGGGCGAAAAAAAACCAACAGCATGGTGAAATGAGAGCTACTATATCAAATTTGACAAAAGAAAACGAGCTCTTGATGCGTCAATTAGAACATACTCAGCTAGAGAACAATCATCTAAAGGCAACTTGCGATAGATTGCGTGGAAGGATTATGGCTCAAAAGATCTTGAAGCAATATTTGGTTGAAAGCGAACAACAGCAACAAAATTGCTCAATAGGATATCATGCATCAAATGCATTTATTGAATCAAGAGGAAGGCTAAAAGAGGCTGACAATAGAAAAGAGTAATCTACCAGGTAACATATATTTATAAAAAAAAAAAAAAAAAAAAAAAAAAAAAAAAAAAAAACGCCTTTTTAATGGCACTATATATTATTGTTAGTACCCAGTCTTTGTTATCATATATATACTCTTCTTTCAATATAGTTCTTTTCTTTCTATTTGTTTGTTTGTCTGTCTTGTGTAACTTCTCAGAACGTAAAGTATTTCTGTATAATACTATAAAAAAAAGCAATGTAGTTTTTCTTCAGGCATGTTATTTTTTCTTGGATAAAAAAAAACTTCATGCATTTGAATACTGAAGTTTATCGCTATATGCTTATAGAAGGAATACAGCTTGCATTTATGTTTCTTGCCATGAACTTAAGACCAATGTGACAATTAAGGCTATGAATTTATCTATTATTATTTTTCTCCTTTGAACAGAATACGCCACGCCTAATATGCATTCTCGCAGAAGAATTTGAACTTTCAATAACACGCATTTGTTTTCATCGTAAGTGTAAAATGTGTTTTATTTACATTTGAAATCAATCAAAGAAACAAAAAGAAGTAATTGAGCCATATCGCCATTACAGTTTCTCCGAACAGACATATTGAAATCGATGACGAAGCAATAACTCTACTCTAGACATAAACTACATGTAAATGTTAATTAGCCACAAGATAAACTCTTCTCTTTTTCGTGTTGCACTCTTGATATTCCTTTTTTTATTTGACTTGGTTGTATATGCATCAAAACGGTATGCATTTCTGTATTAAATACCCTTTCAGTAACCAAGGTTTTACAATATCTCCATACTTGTTTTTCATTGTTCTGTACACCATGTTTAATTTCAAACCCCTTTTTATATTTAAAGTCTCGATTTTTTTTTCTTTTCCTTTCTTTCTCCTTCTTGTTTAACTTGTGCTACTACGAGAGAAAATAAAGAAAGAGGGAGAGAGAAAAAAGAGAGAAAATAAGAAGAGTCTCATAAAATTGAAATGTCTTGGTTTCGTTCAAATACTCTATATGTTTCTGCTTCACTTTTCTGCTTGCCTATGATAGCAGTATGTGCAGTAGTATTTTTGCCATTCCTAATATTCGCTACTGGTGAGGTCTAAAACGAATACATGAAAACAGAGCTAACATCATTGACAGTTACTTTATACCTTATTGCATGGATTATATATTATATTCATGCAAGTACAGAATCCGAGTTTAGCTTGCCTTGTAATCCAAACCAAGTTTTCAAAATCAACATGATTTTGCTGGATCAGTTTATAGGCTGGATTGGGTATATTCCTTTAATTACCTCTTATTTGCATTGGCGTTTCTGGCAAGTTGGTTCAGAACGTTTCAAAGAGATAGTCAGGTGAGAGCTTGGTGCACAATTGAATATAGTAAATATTTATAAAAGAATAGCTTGGATATTCCCTATCATGAATCATGCAAGTTAGACGTATATCATCCTGCCAAAAAACCAAATGGACAAATGGCTCGTATTATTATCTTTATTTATGGTGGTAGCTGGGGTTCTGGGTCAAAACTGTTGTATTCTACACTTGCCAACACATTACGCGAATTGGGTTACGTTGTGGTTGTGCCTGATTATCGTAAATATCCAGAAGTCAAAATTGATGCGATATATCAAGATATACGTGAAGCAATCAAATGGACACATCAACATGCTTCTGAAATCAACGGCGACCCTGAAATGATTTTTGTGATGGTAATAGATATATGTTTAAACTAAAACTCACTATATACAGGGTCATAGTGCAGGTGCACAATTGACAGCTCAAGTGGTGCTATCAGATATCATTGAACAAGTCAAATACGATGAAAGCATTCAGTCAAAATCGACCCCGCCCCGTGTAAGTGAAAAGCATGATCCAGCCATGAAGAAACTTGAAGAGCGTCATATGATTTTAAGCAAGGAAAGGTCTCACGACTTCTTACCATTGGTTGAAGGCATATTGTTGTAAGTAAAAACACTTGTGCTTTGTTTCATGTCTTGAAACGAATTGTTTTTTTATAGGTTTTCAGGTGTTTATGATATTGCTTCACATTTAATACATGAAACATCAAGAGGTGTTGAAAAAATATCAGCCATGTCTAGAGTAATGGGTTCTTCACAAGAAGGCTATATTGCCAATTCACCCATTCATTTGATTGAGAAACATGCTAGATTGTTTGCTGATTCAGAAGACTTGCTTGATTTATGGCCGCGTATTTTGTTACTTCATGGACAAAAAGATACCACTGTAGGCATGGATCAGTCAGCTAATATGTTTAATACGTTAGGCAAGTTATTCCCTGTTGAACGCAGACAAGAAGTAGATGTCAGAATGCGACTATATAAGCGTATGGGACATGCAGAACCTGTTATTGGTAAGCAGACTTATTACTTTTCATCCTTTTGCTCATCATAATTTAGCTTTAATGTCAAACATATTCAGTAAAAAGACAGAACAGACCTTATTATTACGAGACATACAAGAATTTATTGATATCCCTCAATATATAGATGAATAAATATATTATGAAGCAAAAAACTTCCATATTTTACTAAACCCTTCTTCGCCGCCAAAGTACCAGATCAGCATACCTGTGCCAATAGCTACATTTGTCCATTTTCCTTTGCTGCTGGTATCTTTGTTTACATGTGTGTGTTTATCTGAAGGAGCAGTAACAGGATCTACCATGTCAAATTCATTTGCTGGTGTTGGTGGCGGTGGTGATAAAGTATCCTTGATTTTATGTTTTTTATCTCTAGAGCCAACTTTTAGCTCAAATGCTTCTACCCATCGAGGATCTATGCCTTCAAGTTCATTTATGTCTATAGTTTCTGAGGAAGAAGTTAAAATAGGTGCTTTGATGTTCTTTTCTTTTGAGTGATTGACTACTATCTCTGGGACTGCCTTTGGCTTCATCTTTGGCTTGATAGCATCATCAAGAGGATGAGGTCTGCTTGGTTGGTTTGGAGCTGAAAAGAGCTTTCGATTGCTTCTTCTTTGTGCTACCTTCATGTCAAAAGCATTAACCCAATCTTGATTCATCTTGTCATCATCTTGCTGTTTTATTGTTTTGCTAACAGCGTCGCTAAGAGGATGAGGCTCGCTTGGCTGGCTAGAATCTTGCTCTATTATACTTCCTATATTCTTGTACTGTGTGTCTGAGTTTGGACTATCATGTTGTTTCTTTTGTTCGGCTACACGTTGAATACTACTAATAGAAGGGGCTGTGCTGCCGACTACTTTAGCTGTCTGATGAGTCAATAGCTTAATGATGATATCATTCTTTGTTCCCGATACATCCAAATGATTTTCTTTTGCCAGGTTGATCAATTCGGGCTTTTTCATTCTTCGAAGTGAAGCTTTTGTCCATTCTGTTGCAAGAATACGGCTTGAATGAATTGATGCTCTTTGTATAGAAAAGAAAAGAGACATTTTTTTTATTTGAAAAAGAAAAAAAAAAAGAATAATAAAAAAAAAGACTGGGGATAATTGCATGCTGGTTGTGGCTTGTAAAGTACTTTGGCATTTCAATAAAATCTGTTTCGAGCTTGACCTCAATGCAAAAGAATTGTAACAAATACGCTGATTTATTGTTGTTACGATTTGAATGACAAGAATATAATAAATACTCCATGCAGTACTACAAGACTTACACATTAGGATTGTATGTATTTTCGTCCACAGTAAAATTGATCATTGTACATACTGTTTTTAACCCGTATCTCATATTGCTCTGTTATGGAATAAGTGATTATTTGGAACCCTTGGTCTTTATAATCCTCGAGCTGTAATTGTGCTTGTCCTCTAAGCTCTTGAGGACAGTCTTTGACAGGTTGTCATAGATTTTAAGAAAAAATAGTTTATAAAAGATGTTTTGTCAATTGACTACATTTCACACTATAAACAGGTTCTTATTATTTATCACATGAAGAAACCAGTAATTTATCAAGCACTTCTAAAGATAAATGATTTACTTGTGTTAAGAAAGAAAACTATAGGACAACATAAAAAGAATAGAGATACTATAAAGCTAATAGCAGCTACATTCTCAAAATACTTTTCTTTGAAGTGGACAGAGTGTTCGCCATCAATACATTTATACAAAAATAAGCGTCATTTATTGGAATGGACGAAGCATTTCCCAATACTTCTGTATACAAAGTCTACGTGAAGAATTGTAAAAGGAAGTCTTTAAGAAAATGACTTATTTTTTGTGGCTTCAAGTCAAAAAGCGCTGCGATAATGAAAAATCATGCAACTAAGCGAAATCACCTTTCTCTATTTACTTTTCAAATGTCATTTTTCAATAATTTATCCTCTATTTGCTTTGAAGCTTTCACGGAGTAAAAGCAGATGTATAATACTTATTTTATGTTTATTGGTGGAGAACCTGTGTTTATTGTTTTAAATGTGAGAGCAAAAATACCAAAAGCACACTTCGAATCATACGTCTTTTTTTAAAGTTATGCAGACTATGTGACTTGTGATTTGTTGGGATTTAAAGGCGGTCAGCATGAACTGTTCTTTTCTTTTCCAACATGTCCTCCGTAAACGAATTACCACCTCTTCAAAAAACAGATACACTTGTCCACTCTCATTCACATGAAGACACTAACTTAACTCGGGTTGTTCTTGTGTGCTTGGACCCCGAGTCTGCTGAAACCACCTTTCACTGGGCTATAGATAACTTTGTTATACCTCAGAAAGACTTGGTAAGTAGCGTTTTAGGGAAACATGATCATTCATATATGTCTATATGTAAAGGTTGTTCTCGTACATGTGCGTCAAATCGATATTCCAGTTGCCCCATACATTAACTCGACTGGATATGTAGATGATGTCAGTGCAGAAAGAAGAGAAGAAAGCCATCGCTTGTTGAGAGCATACGCTGATAAATTGTCCAAAAGCAAGGTAAAAAAAAAAAGTTATTGTGTTTTTGAGTCATTTATGAGATCATAGATTGCCTGTAAAGCCATTTCAATGGTAGGGGATCCAAAATCCGAGCTTTTAAGAAAGGCGAAAGAAATCAAAGCAGACGTTGTGTTGATGGGTGCAAGAAAAATGGGGGCTATTAAAAGGTAAAAAGAAATTAAGCTTTTGTTCACATGCTTATCATCATACCCTTAGAACTTTGCTGGGAAGTGTTAGTGACTATATCGTTCACAACTGTCCCTGTACTGTTATTGTGACCAAGCCTGAAGAAGTTTCTCATCAAGAGGAACGCCGCAAGTCTATTGTATCACTTACATCTAATCCTGAAAGTACCAAATAACTTCATGATGACTTTCTCTTAATTTGCACGCGTTGATTAATAAAATAAAAAATTCGTCTCATCATGACATCATAAGGCTACCTTTTATAGTATAAAAACCTTTTTATAAGTTCATCATTGTCTTATTTACCTAGTTTTCTCTTTTTATAACAGTATGTTAGACACAGCTCCTTCCTCAATGATTTCATCTACACTTCCAACAAAAGATTTTAAGGAGTCAATGAGCCCTCCTAATCTAATTGCAGGCAAGTATTAATGCTGATTTTGATCTGTGTCACTTACTTTATCATAGAGAAAGACTTTGCTGAACAACCTTCAAATGACTTACAGCTCTCTTCTGATGAAGCTCCAGCAACTCCTCATATCACATTGCAAGCTGAGACAGCTAACAGGCCTTCGATATATGTCAATGGTCAAATCATCAACAACTCTGTCAAATTAGACGATACCGAATCAGAGGGAAGACCAAGTATTTACCTTTTTATTTTTGTAAACTCACTTTCTGGTGATCGAAAGGGCGAAGACCTTGTTACTTTACCTATTCAGCATTTTCGTCTTCGCAGGTTTCCTCAAGTTCAAGTAGAAATTCACAACATTCTTGATGATGATGATCGAGAAAATGGTGTCAATAATATCAAATTGATTGAATCAAAAATAAAGATGGGCCAAATACCTGATATTCAACCTGGTCCTGTATCTAGTGATCCTGAAAAGGGTACTTTATCAGCAGCAGTAAAAACAAGACAGATTCATGTTTGGAGTGCAGGAGGCGATGGCACTGTCATCAGTGTCTTTGAACTATTGGTCTCAAATAAAATAGACTTGGACCTCGTATTCTTTTCATGTAAGTTTCTTTCTAATTTCTACCGATAATACATCATTCTGACGCTTGAATTTTTCTTACAGGCATTCCATTTGGTACTGGTAATGATTTTAGTCAGGTTCTTGGTTGGGGTCGCACAATACCAGATAAAAACATTCTTGGATCAAAATTACAGAATCTCGAGGAATTGATCTCAGACAGATTAGAAAAATCAGAAGCTGCTAGACTAGATATTTGGCAGATCAAGATGGTCTCTTATCCCTCAGGTTACATTCGTGAAGCTGGTCCTAAAGATAGAAAAGACGGCCATGATGTCGCTGAAGTAAAAGGCTCTGAACAAAGCTCTTTGAAGGAAGATGTATTGACTCGAAAAATGTCTAATTACATGTAAGTTGGTTGCAATCCTAGAATATATGATGATTAACATCTATAATAGTAGTTTAGGTGTTCAAGGATATGTTGGTTCTGGCTTTGAGGCACATCGTGCTGGTCATCGCTTGGGTAACATGTTTGTATATGCACAAGAAAGCTCAAAATGGGTATTTTGGAGACGTTTTCCAAACCTTACTCGGTTTATCAAAAGCTTTAGTCAAGGAGATCAAGTCGTTTTGAATTGCCCTTCACCAGAAGAGAAACAAGAACAGAAAGCAACATCTAATGTACCTGAAATTACCAAGGACCCTATCGACATGGTAATCCAGAACATACCTCATATCTGGTAATAAGTAACTTCATAATGAGTTGTAACAATGTTGCTGACATGACACAATAATAGGGGTAGAGAAGTTGATTTATGGGGCGAAGCTAAATCTGGTTTGGAAGCAGTAACCAATCGTTCGGGACCGACTGATCCTGAAAACTGGAAACCTCAACGTGCTAATGATGGCCGATTGGAAGTTATGACCATTGAAAACATGACAAGCTACCTGAAAAAATTGGCTAACATAAGAGAACATGTATCCCGTATTGGTCAGTTTAATTCTCCTTTTGAAATTAACTTTCGTGAACCTGAAGATCACATGAAAGAGATGGACAAAGTATCAAATAATTCCTCTGCTTGGACCAAGACAAAAGCATTTGTCAAAGACAAGAAGCGACACAAGTATGACAAGAAGAATGTTATGTGTATCATGTGTGATGGTGAATTTTATGAAATGAAGGACCCCAAACAAATTAAATTTGAGCGCTATGCTCAGATATGGACGTTAGGTAGAAATGACGAAGAAAATCAAGGCAGATTAGTCAAAGATGAACTAGATTCCCAGCAAGAAAACAAGTAATCAGCCTGTATATATCTACATACTATACTACTATACTTAGATTACATTTTCCTCTATTTGTATATCATCCTAATATTATTATTTATTGAATAAAAATGGGATTTTTGTTCATTTATGTTCTCTATACGTCATTTTACTATATGTAACACAATTGGATAATACGTTTTCTACTCTATTTTTTAAGACTTGAACAACCATATTTAAAACATTTCAAATCAAGTACAGAGAATACTATAAAATAGATTCCAAAAAAAAATCTTTTAAAAAACGCTTCAACAATAAGCGAAATAGAATATACTAGAACGTCATAGCGCAAACGAAATAGAATCACTTTGTATCATACGTACCTCAAGGCTTTGTTGAAATAATTGTATATCAAGCATAATTAAAGGTCGCATCAAATTGAAGATATGAACAAAACACTCATAGGAGAAGCAACTATTTTGAAATAAAAGCTATGACATACTTGTGCCATGTGCTTCAATAACAAGCTTAAATTAAGCTAATAAGTCTATGGACAACGACATCAATAGGTTAGCATGGCTGCTTTAGCTTGTCACTATATGACACGAACTATTTTTAAGCTTTTTTTTCTTAATCTTCAAGAGTACTTTGTTCGAAAAAATTTGACTTTTATAACAAAAAATGATACAATTACAAATGATGGATTGAACCAACTAAAACAAGAAAATGAATGGACGCCCCCGTACTAATTGATTAGCTTATTTAATAAAAGTAATCATTGCGCTACATTTGAGAGAGCAATATTTTGTATTGATTCCTTCTCAAACTCTATTTTTATTATTAGGCTATTTCCATACTATTTTTGTTTTCAAAGATGCCTTTATAAACGATTAACTGGATGTCTTTTAAGCCAATCTACCAAAGCACGAGAAAGCTTGAGTGTTTGATGAGTGCTCGATTTTCCTTGCTTTGACAATCCTTCTCGCAACTGTTTATATATAGTCGACTAAAATTGACTTCATAATTACGCCAGTAGTCGCCAGATCATTAGTTAAGAAACAAATCAAATATGAACATTTAGGAATTTTCTGAAGCAAGCTTTTCTTAAAAGTCCTATGCATAAACAACCCTCTGAAAGATACTTCGACTTCCACGTCCATTTTACGATTATTTTAGAGTCACGGATTGCAATGTATTGCTATAAACGTAACAACAAAAATCTTCTCAATCATAAAAGAATGATGACGGCTACACACACCACAGACCAGAAAAGACAAAAGTTATTCCCCAACGGGGAATCGAACCCCGGCCGTGTCGGTGAAAGCGACAAATCCTAGCCACTGGACCATTGAGGACTGGTATATATTTGTTAATTTAATATTTTACTTATCGTTGTATTTTTGTAGTCAAGTCACGAGACAATAAAACGTTTCTTAGCCAACAGATTCACTGGGAAATATTCTGGAAGTAACGTAATGTCGAAGAAAGGAATTGTGTATTGGTACAGTAAGTATAAGACGAAGAACTTACAAGTATCAATAACACAGTATTTATATGTTTTCTGATTATACTAAAATATATAAACTATAACATATGGAGTGTTGTATACACAGCATTATTCATCCCTTCTTACACTAGTTATGCCTTAAAAGAGCAAGTATTAATATCATGTATAAATATATCTTTCAATCACAGTTTTATCCGCAGCTTCGATGGATGTCTTCTGTCTTAGTTTAAACATGTTAAAGATCAGACCATCACATAATCACAAATTGACATCTGCATCAATACCAATAGTAGACGAGGTCTGTGCCCTGATCATGTACCGTGTTCTTCTGTACCTTAATCCATTCAACCGATTAGCTAGTGTATACACACTCAGTCCCAAATCAAGGATAATCAATTATCATACAAACAGTATAAATACAATACAAAATATAACCTTTAATAAAGCAGACTTCTTTTGGCCGTTTTGGTTCTAATCGACTTATTGATTTGACCATTTTATTAGTGATTATATCACATGGAGAAGGAAGTAATTAGATACTTAATGCTGATTGATGTCTGTGTCTTGACGAATCTAAAGTGTGCTTGGCTTTTCTAATGCAAATCAAGTTGAGGTGGACTTTCTTTCTTCTTTTGTTCAGTATTTGTGGTTTAAACCTTCGTTTGTTCGGATTATTGTTTGTTGGAAGGTTATATTCAACTTCAATTGGTTGCTTCTTACTGGAATCGCTATTTTCTGTGACAATTTTGCAACTGTATTACAATCATTTCAATTTATATATCACGTTCTGTTCGAGCGCTATGCGGACCGAATGTGTTTCGAAATCAATGGTGCGGTACGCACTGCAATGTTCACCTTCTTTGCTGCTACTATCTCGGACACACCTTCTAGATAACTGATGTTATATTTGACCGTACTTTATCCTGATCACCTTTACCAAGACTCCATTGCTATATGTAACCTCTCGCTTCTCCTTGTCTTTATTTTTATATTCTCATCTTTATATTTTCGGTAGTGCTCATATATCGTGAGTAGTTAGAATTGATGTAGCATGGCACAAAAATAAGAAAACATTATATATACATCAATTACAATTTTAAATAAACTTCATCGATTGCTTACTAGAAAAATATCTACCGAACCTATATTTTTCTAATACCTATTAACAACTTCATTGTCATATTTTGTAAAAAAAAAAATGATGGTCATGTGATATATGATTTTTTGGACCGAATATAAACTAATTCTCCGAGCTATACTCATTTTAGTAGTACTCATTGTCCTTGCTTTATTGTCTTTTCAATATTGTCTGCTACTCTATTTCATATGTCTTTATCTTCTAGACCAATCCAATGGAGGCTGAAAATCCTTGTAATTCTATAGATTTGTTAGTTTTTTCAAAACAAACTTATTTACTTCATCAACAATGTAGCTCATAGCCGAGATATTCTAACCAAAACGCTATATTCAGAGCTCAATGCCAAATTTAATTCTAAATATATACATATCCCAGTGAAGCGTAAATCAGATCCAGTTTTAAGTCTCTATATATAGCCATTTATACAACAAAGAAAAGCAAATTCTCTACGTTCTGCCCAAGTTCACACTTGCCTATTCTTCATCTTTCTTAGTTTTTTTACCCAAAATATCATGTTGCTAATTAAAAGAAATTGCTATATCGAAGCAAAGTTACTTCAAGTCATTTGAAGTGTTTATGGATATCTACATAAACCAAAGTTCATTACCACTCGTTTTTCTTCTGTTAATCATCTTTTTAACTTTCTGATTTATCTACTTGGTTCTTGTAATTTCTTCTTCGTCTGCAACTCTTGTCTAAACTAACAGAAATGCTGACATACTCAGAAAGCTTTATATTTAAACTTTTGATCTAACAACTTGCCCCTCGTAGTCAGTCTACATTCAATCTATCTGTACATTATCTTTATTGATTCAATGCTTAGCCGACTTAGATTAATGCAGCATATCTTGCATCAAATAGCTCAGTTGTTTACTTCAGTCTGTAGGACAAATGTAATGTACATTTAGTCTAAGAATTCGATAAAGTGTTCCAGGAAGCTTAGATATTGTAGATATTATTTATACAACTTCATTGTTACACTTTGTACACTGTTTGTTATATGTTTCGCAGTATTTGTCTTTTTTTGAAATCGCTTAAGTAGTTGGTTCAATCAAATCGTTGTTAAACGTTCAACAAAGAACCGATCTATTTGGGACAAAAATATCCTTAGTTTGCCTCATTTTTTCGTTTAATTTTTTTTTCTGGACCGAAAGACCGGATCTTGTTTGATGTGCCAAAAGAAAAAAAAAGATCTGGACTAAAATAATAATTCTGCATTATTGTGCTCACAAGGTAAATAATGAAATAAATTCACCTAAAAAGACAGCAGAAAACTATGTCATGAGACGGGTTTGATTATTTCTATAGCTTATTTCATGGAGACATCAGACAAAAGGAAAAACGTTATTTCCAATTAGAGATGATACGAAAATAAGACCGAGAAAGCGGGTTTACCCTCAAAGCGCTCTTTGATTTTCCTCAAAATTTTTTTGAAACATGGCAAAAGTGAGTTCTAGGGCTCCTCAAGAACTTTAAATATTGTCTTGTCATTTTTCATTCCTTTCTTTTCTTTAATAATCAATAAAAAAACAGGACACAACAAAGCAAATGTCCCCAGTTATAGAGAACCGTGATATGAAGATTGAGAGAAAATCATCAATTCATCTGTCAGATCAACCAAGCGAGCATGTACAGTTCGACAACGAATCGGAAAAAACAACAATTGACGCTGACGAGGCGCCAGAGAAAAAGCCAGAGAAAAAGGGCAACTATGTCTTGACATTTGTCGGTCTGCAAGTAGCTTTATTTATGGCTGCTCTAGATAGGTAAGTTGATACTTGATTCTGATTCTATAAACTCATCATGCCAAATTAATAGTACCATTGTATCAACGGCTCTGCCTCGTATTGGCTCTGATTTCAATCAAATGTCAATTGTTTCTTGGGTTGCTACAGCATATATCTTGACGTTCGATGCATTCCGTAAATTCATTTTTGTAAAACGTAGAGACAATAATTGACATGCACTGTAAATAGAGCCACTCTTTGCTAAATTTTCAGACATTTTTGGCAGAAAATGGATCATGATCTTTGGCACATGTATGTTTTTATTTGGTTCTTTGCTTTGTGGTATCTCAACTGTAAGTATCAAAAGATCTCATTCCATCAGACTATACTTAATTTTGAAATCCTAGTCTATGATCATGTTGATTATTTCTAGAGCTATTGCTGGTATTGGCGCTGCTGGTATTATGTCAATGGTAAATGCCTTCTTATTATTAACATGTTCGTTTCTAACTTTTTTTCTTAGGTGTTTATTATTATCTCTGATCTAGTTCCACTTGAAAAAAGAGGGTCCTATCAAGGGTAAAAAAAAGAGAAAAAAGAACCAGTTTTTGACTATTTGTACTTATCATTCTTTGTTAGTATTATTAACGCTGTTTTTGCTTTGTCAAGTGTATTTGGTCCATTGATTGGAGTAAGCAGATCAATTAAATATCGTTCAATTCTCTTACTAAATCTTTCTTTAGGGAAGTTTCACTGATTATGTTACATGGCGTTGGAACTTTTATATTAAGTAAATCTGATACCAGATAACATTTTGCTTAATGCTAACTCATGCTTTTTTTTCTAAACAATAGCTTGCCTATTGGCGCTGTGGCTTTATTTGTCTTGTTCTTCTTTTTACATATGCCTGCACCTAAAGGCAATCTTACAGAAAAGTTGAAGCGTATTGATTACCTGGGCACATGTATTGTTCTCGTCTTTGCAACATTGTTCTTGTTGGCTATGAATTTTGGTGGCCAAACGTTTCCTTGGAAATCTGCCGCAGTCATTGTACCATTGGTGTTGACAGTTCTTTTGGTTGCTTTGTTAGTTTATGTGGAGGGAAAAGTTGCTGAGCCTTTGATACCACCTCGTTTGCTCAAGAACCGTTCTGTTGCATCTGTCTTGGCTACAAATTGGTTCTTTGGTATGGCATTCTTTAGCATGATTTATTACTTGCCTATCTATTTCCAAGTCGTACGTGAAGATTCAGCTATGTGGTCTGGCATTCGTTTAATTCCTATGGAATTATTGATTTCTGTATTCTCTACTATTTCAGGTTTCTTCATATCTAAAGTAGGCATTTATAAGCCAATGTAAGTTAGATGTGCAGTCTTGATTTACAGAAATTGATTTTACTCTAGCCCTCCTCTTGGTATGTGTTTGCTCACTTTGAGTGTTGGTTTATTATGCTTGTTAGACGAAACTACTTCGTTCCCAAAAATATACGGATATACTGTCCTTGGTGGTGCTGGTATTGGTCTCATGTTCTCTTCTGCTATCATTGCTCTTCAGGCCTCTTCTGAGCCTAGAGATGTTGCTGTTGTTACTGGTCTTGGTAATTTCAGTCGTATTTTAGGTGGGGCTTTAGGCGTTGCTATTTCCTCAGCTATTCTCAACTCATCCTTGGCCAAAGATCTTGCTCTTGTTGTTCCTCAAGATATCGCTCAGAAGGTCTTGGAGTCAACTGAATATGTGCGAAACGGTTGTCCTCCCCAATATATTGAAATAGTTGTCACTAACTATGTGAGCGCTCTACGGTTTATTTGGTATGTCATGACTGCTATGTGTGGTGTAGGCTTTTTGTCCTCCTTGTTTATCAAGCACGGAAGTGTGCTTAAACGCCAAGCTCCCGCTGATAAAGACGAAGCTGTTGCCAATACGAACAAGGACACTAAAATTGAGATTCCTCCTGAATAAAACACAAAATAACAATCAATCTCACAAAGCGATCTTCAAGAGATTATCACTACTGACCCACAAAGAAAATAAGTTCCATATACGCATTTTGCATTTTTAGTCCTATTTATCTATTATATCTTGTATTTTTTAAGTTTCATCAATGTATATAATAAACCATTTCAAATAGAGGAAAAAAAGTTGTCTAATGCTTTTAACAAATACGCTTTTCAATCAACACATTGCCAAAAAAAGTTCAAAGACGCATCTTGACTACTGATTCACTTTTTCAATTATGTTCTAATTCTTAACTACAAAGTTCCATCAGAAGCATACACAGAAAAAACCTTTCAACATGTAGTAGGTCAAATGACAGCTGAAGTGGCCGCATTCTGTTTTCTTTCAAACGATCGATACCTAAAAAAGGCCGTAATTCATACAAGACGCACGAGTAACAAAGCAAAGCGGCATAAAAAACATATTAGGTTAGTCATAAAGATTCTTTGGCAATCCATATGTATCACCCAAAGTAAAAAATTTGTTTGTAAACACTTACAAATTTTTAGTATCATTCAAACGATCAGGCATGTGTCATTGCTTACTGAGCATATTGTGTAACCCGAAAAACACATTTTATGCAAATAATTTCTCGCATAGATCTACTCCATAATGCTTGACATTCATTTATATCTGAGCTTACAATTACTGATTCAAACCAAAGCAAACTGTGTTGTGCATAAATATCAGCTCTTAATATGTTAGATGTAGTTATGAAAGAGATGTCTTTAAGCAAACAAAGGCTTGTAGAGAGAAGTGGAGAAACTTGATATGAGTGAAACATACGCTTTACTTGATTTGACTGTGTCATAATAAAAAAACATGATTAGTAAACAAAGTAAGGTTTGGTCTTATAAATCAAATCAAGCACCTCACCTATTGCCGTATGCAGGCTAGTATGGTCATAGAAATTATGAGTATAGTTGAGCTAAAAGAGAATTAAGAAAAAAATAGTCTATATGAAAGCAGACACCAATTTTCATAAACAAATCTGTTGCGTGCAACATTTCTCTTTATACGACAACTCAACAGATACCGAGCTCATCAACGTGCACACCTCGAAGACATGCATTGGTTGCCACGTAATATAAAGTCAGAGAAAGGAGAAAATCTGTATTTCTGGCATAAAGGGATATCTATAATCCATTATCGATAAAGACACAAGCTAAGTTGCATGCGTAAGCATTGACTACAAAATACACAAGAAGAGTGACACATGCCCCACCATATATCAGATCGAGTACTTTTTTTTTATATATAAATAGAGGATGTATTTGCGTAATAAATCAATTCATTATCCTTCAATTCAGACAATAGTTCAAAATGCGTTTCTCTTTCACTGCTGCTATTATCGGTGTTGCTAGTTTCGCTGCCTCTGTCTCTGCTGACTTCTACAACCGTCTTGACTTGAACCAAAGTGTCTTTTTATTCGTTGACCACCAAACAGGTCTTTTCAACTTGGTCCAAGACTACAACCCTGATACTTACCTCAACAATGTAATGGGTCTCGCTGAAACTGCCAAATACTTTGACGTCCCTACTATCCTCACCACTTCTCGTGAAGATGGTCCTAACGGTCCCATGCTTCCTGAACTCAAGGCTCTGTTCCCTGATGCTCCTTACATTGCCCGTCCTGGTCAAATCAACGCTTGGGATGATGAAGATTTCGTCAAGGCTATCAAGAAGATCGGTAGAAAGCAATTGATTATTTCAGGTATTGTCACTGATGTTTGTGTCACCTTTGTTTCTCTTTCTGCAAAGAAGGCTGGTTATGAAGTTTTTGTGGTCACTGATGCCTCTGGTACTTTCTCTGAAGCTGTTCGTGATGCTTCTTGGTTGAGAATGCAACAAGGAGGTATTCAACTCATGAACTGGTTTGGTGTTGCTTGTGAATTGGGCCGTGACTGGCGTAGAGACATTGAAGGTATGGCTGCTTTGTTTGCTAAGCGTTTGCCTAGCTATGCTCATGTCATGGACTCTTTCAACGGTGCTCAAGCTGTTCTCAAGTCTCAGTAAGTTCAAGGTTAAGCTTTTTTGCCTTCAAAAAAAAAAAGAAGGCCGTAGTTATAGCATACACAGTATTTAATAAAGAATCATTTACTGCTTTAATGGATTGTGTATACAAATGAAAAAATCAAGTTTTCAAGTTGAAGGACTGTATCTACTAACAGGCTTTTTTGCTCTGGATGACTTTCTTGATAAATGCTTTTGAGCGACAGCGTCATTGCATTTGGTATGCTTTCTTTTTAAACTAACAGGGGTTTCTTCTTGTTCGAAACTGACCATTCCATATGCCTTTAGTTGCTGTATGCCACCATCTAGTGAGATTAGTAACATAGATGCATAAAAAAAAAACACTTACTTGGAATAGGTCGAATACGAATGTACTCTAATGGTTTATGATAAACACAAGGAATGGTATGGACCATGTTTGGAAGAATGTGGTGTTCATATTCAGATTCTATCAAATTAACCCATGATTCTTTGCCTGTGTTGCCATGGCTTCCTTCAATCGATATAGATTTTGGCGAATTTCCAATAAAATGAGTTGTATCTACAACAAATCTACTAATAATCCCTTGATGGCATAGTTGAATTGTTGTATAGTCGTCAAGTGTCTCTGTTGGTCTTCTAGGACAAATCCAGCCATCATCCCTAATGATTGCAAATCATTAGCATTGTACTAACTTTTTTTCTCTCATACCAAGATTCACTTCGATCATTGATTATATTAGGTGCATCGCCACAAATGATATCAAATGGCCTATGAGTTACTTTGGCTCCGAGAAAGACAGAAGCTAAATTAACCTCTTTGTCCGTCGGAAAATCTTTAACAATAATATCTCCATAGACTCTAAATCTACTCTATAAAAGTGTAAATACACTGACACTGCTTGAAACGCGTTACTTACAACACCACCACCAGGATAAGTGACAAGTTGGATATGACTATATATATTCTTGTCATTGATAATCTCAAAAAAGTTGTGAGAGTTGTCTTTGATATTTGCAATAGGAATAATATCTAGCCACTATATTAAAGATGTTAGCATGATTTTTATGTGCGTGTGTGTATAGACTTTACCTCTGCTTGATTTTCGAGAAGGCCCTTGACACTTGCATTAATGGGTGCACATTGACTATACCCAGTTATATCAATGTCTATACCATGAATGGTACCTGGTCTACCGAATCTAATGATGACGCTATACATACTGCTTAATAAAAAAAAATATCTATTTAATACTCACGATGCCTGTGGCTCATGGCGTTTTACTAGCCAACCACTCACATTAAAGGACTAAACAATGTATGAGCAATGCTATAAATGAAATATAAGTACAAACCTCTTCATTTATGGCCATAGTGATTTGAGGATCTGTAGCTTTGATCAAGTTTGCAGCAGCTCCATAGGTTTGCTCTGATACAGAAATGATATGTGACTGTAGATGGTCTGAGCTTAACTCAATATGCTTGACAAAAGGAGTATCTTTAACTGTATGACAATTGACCAAATGCCTAAAATTCCCATTTTTGTCACCAGCACATGAATCAATGTCAGGTACAGATAGAGTATCTTCTCTCATTGTTCTTCTAGAATGAGTAAGCATACTTTCCATATTCGTACTAGCGTTATTATCGTGTTCTCTTGTAGGAGGTGATATTTGGCGGAAAGGTATTCTATCAGTATGGTACATGATAGATTAAAAAAATAAAATATAAAAATAAGAAAAAAAAGAAGAAGAAGAAAAAGAAGAAGAAAAAGAGAGAAAAAAAGGGAAACTGAAAAGACATGGCCTTTTATAGTTATGCCATAGATTCATATCACTATCCTTTCCATGACAACAAAATATAACACTCTAAAGACCATCTTGTTTACAGCCAATCAAAACGTATGTGGAAAAATGAACACGGACTTAAATTTTATACAGTTACACTTTTTTCCCTTCTTCCATATACAAGATGAGTGAACTTCCACCAAGAGCTTCTATGCAGTCGTCTATCTATAGCGATCAACGTACTGTGCGTGCAAAGAGTATTCTAGAAAAAAACTTGAATAAGAGTAGAGGTGGCGAAGTAAGTCTAATATGAAATAGCAAGCAAAGACTTAGCTTGTATATAGGTCAGTCTAAGTGCACAAACCTTTTTGTTTTCTGAGATGTTACAATATGCACAAAAGAGAGTCAACGGCATTCAGGACTTGGAGAGAAAGTAAGTTTAGGCAAGTCAGAGCACAGCACTTATGTATGGATAGACTAAATGAATTTGGGTATCGCGTTGGTACTCGTGTCTTAGAGTTGTTAGCTTGGAGAGAAAAAGTATCAAAACGAGAGATTAAAGTGATCAATGTCCTGTACTTTATTCATAGCACAGTGTGGAAATCATTATTTGGAAAGCAAGCAGATTCACTCGAAAAGAGTACAGAAAATGAAGATGAATGTATGATATATTTTCATAGGAAACGGTCTAACATATTGTGTGTGTCTAGACATGATTTCAGATAATGAACCTATCTTGACAAGATATATATCTGTACCTAAAGAACTCTCACAACTGAATTGTAATGCATTTGTGGCTGGTATTGTAGAAGCTGTCCTGGATGGTTGTCAATTTGTAAGTCAATTCATTTTAAATTTATCTCATTTTTCTTTAGCCTGCGCGTGTGACAGCACACACAGTTCCTGCTGATGGATACCCTCAAAGAACAACAATCCTTATCAAATTGGATAAAGAAGTGTTAGAGAGAGAAGAGCTTTTAAAATAAACTTTTTTATTTCTTTCCTTTTCCTTTCTTTGCTGTCCTGTCAAACACGTCAATGAACTTTTTGGGAACACCTTTGTTTATCATAAGCTCAGAGATAGTCTTGATCTGTGGCCCTTGTACCATAATTTCAAACAATGGATTCTTTGGGCTCACACCATGAATAGGATTATCTAAAGAACATTAATAAATCATCGAATTGTTATTACTTTACATGTAGCACTACTAGCACAGAGTTTAGTTAATTCTTTTGCCAGTTCATCCACATCTAATCCAAATCCTTCCACGCCTGTTACTTTAGTAACTGTCTTTCTTCCTTGTCTTATTTCTTGTGTGATTTCTACAGGTTTAGGACTGCCCTTTCTAAGCACTGCTTCTTTGCCAGGCAGTTTGATTGTATGAAAAGGCTGCATCTTTTGACATGTTCTATGAAGAATTTGATCTCTTGCCAACTTGTCAATGGTGTTGTATTCTTGCTTTGATAAAATTGCATCGCACATAGTTGCATCAATATTGATCATTCTATATACACAGTAAATACAACACTCATTTTATCAATAGGCTTACTTTTGATTTTTAGGATCTACCAAATTGTGCAATTTGATATAATCAGCTACAACAGTACGCACTTCTGGAATGGTGTACATAGCATCTTTATCATGCTTGGCTTCTTCAAAAAACTTGATCAATTGAGGTCCAAGAGGCTTAAATAATTCCTGAATTTCAGCTTCGTTTGATTGTTGCTGCTGCTTTTGCTGCTGCTGTTGTTTCTCTTGTTGTTGAGATGCTTCTTTGACTGTATTCTCTTTCACTGATTGTGATTCCATCGTCTTGTATTTATGTAAATTCTCTAAACTAGGGTGTGAATAATTAACAGAAGTAACCATGGTCTCTCCTCGTTGCTCTTTTGTCTTCAACAACCCTGCTTTATCCATTGCCTTTAAGAATTTTTGAAGCTTTTTCCAGCTAGATTTTTTGATGTCAATCTCTGTCCCGATATCCGATGGTCTACATGGCATAATATAAGCCGAGTAAAGTGAAGATGCTGATAATGGCAATAAATGAGTGGCATTTTCTTGTTTGATTTTGTATACAAGTGCTTGATAAAGCGATTTCTTTAGCCATTCATCAATGTCTAGTGATGTGTCAGTCCTATGGCAGCATAACTAGTGCCTTATACCTGCAGTTGTCAATTGAACAGCGCCTTTTTCTTCTAACATTGGCTCTTTAGGTGCTGGTGTCGCTTTCTCTATTGTCCCTTTTTCTTCTCCCTCTTCTTCTTCATATTCATCGTCAGACATATGCTCAAGCTGTGGTGGATCTGATTTATCTCCCATTGACCACAAGAAATCCTGATAAACATGGATGATATGTACTGCTTTTCCCTTCATACCCGAGCGTGGCTTTATACCAGAAGTAGGTACTGCCATCGTACCAATTGCTAAAGGGTATCTACATTTTTTTTGTATATAAGCCAAGATCAACCTCTTCCCGAGACTTACGAATATCCTTTGATGGTAATAGCCACTAAATCGCCAGTATCCAAAGTAGGCAACACACCTTCTGGTCCAAGAACTAGACCTGGTATCATCAAGTCTGCTCCTTCCATTAGCCTGTGAATGACAGGACCCCACGTATACAGTTTGGGCAACATGTTGGGATATTGCCACATTGTATACACTAGTTATACATACTTAGAGATACAATACATGTCACAAAGTATTACCTGTTGGAATAGGAGGTAGTTTCTTGATGGATATCCATAATACTTGTTTATCAGACATATAGACTACACCTGGAGTGCCTGTATGCGAGATAAACTTGGCTGATCGAAGATCGTCTGGCATAAGGTGAGACGCGCCCTCTGCTGTGCACATCTCTTTGACAGAAGGATGAGCTTCATACGCATCGGCTTGAAAGCGACGACGATCCGAAGAACGCAAAGGACTGAAGGACTTTAAGTTTGCTAGAGGTTTTTTAAACATGCTAAAAAGAAAAAAAAAGATGCATTTATTTTATAAGTGACGTTTTTTTTTATAAAACTAAGACCAACTATAAAGCATATCATTTCTTCTTCTTAATACATCGCGGATTTGACTGTTGCTCAATACTTCAATGCCTAGTTTATCTAGTATGGTTTGTACAAGCTCTAATTGATTTGTGTCTGACAGGGCCTTCATAAGTACACCACAAGAAGGCAAATCGTTGTCTGCTTGTTCAAATGGTAATGTAAGCAATTGAATGGCCTCTTTTAACCTATACATATTTAGCTGACATGTCTAACTGTTATGAACTTACTTTTTAGTGTAATTCTCAGGCTTCTTTGACCATCTTTGTGCTATTTTCCATAAGCCAGACTTGATGTCTGTTTCAAGTTGCAATGCGCCTTGAGGTGAAAACTGACTTGAGGCTATAATATGCTTCCAGTACCAATCTTCAATCTCTTTTAGAATTTGCTTAAAAATTATCAAAAATTCAGCTTGAGGTAGAATGCGATACAGGTAGTTCCAAGTCATACGTAGATCTTGCAAAGGTTTATACAATTCATCTGAAATTTCACTGAAATCACTGTTTTGCCACCATGCATTCTTTCTAGCGTATTTTCTTGATTCTGTAGACCAGTCTTTAATGGTAATCTTGACGATGATCTTCTCTACTCTCTTGATTAATTGCTCAAAAGCAATGGTTGCATCTGAGAACAAGCTTTCTGTTTGGTGATGAGCAATGTTTAACATGCAGTTGTTTCTTTCTTGTACAGGTACGTTGTCTACAACTTGCTGAATACATGATGTATCTTCATTTGACTGTAACTGAAGTTCTAAAAAGAATTCGTCTTCATTCCAATCTTTTAACGCATCCCGCATTGATCTTGCACTTGTCCACCAACGATGTAATCGGTGCAAGGCAGATACAGTGCCTCCTGTTTCTGTTGCTGTCATGACGCCTGTTACTGCCTCAGGCAATGAACCAGGTACAGGTACAGATCGAATCAGACTGAGTGCTTCAAATGAATCAATGGCAGTCGATAGTCGTTTTTGATATTGCCCCAATAAGTTGAGTTGAACATGAATAAAGAAAGTGAGTTTATGGCTTAATTGAGGCACTAGTTGATATGCAGTCGTGATATTGTCTAGTAGATTGACCAGACGAACAGCTGATTTTGTTCGTTTGATGGTGTCTTTCTGGTCAAAATCGTCTTCTGCATAGATATCAAATGCTTGCCTGTCCAACATGATTTCATCATATCTTGATTGAGCAAATGATTTCTCAGCTTGAAACCATGTATTAAACCAGACAGGATTGTTTGTCAGTATACGAGAGACAGAAAAGGGATCGTTGTAGGCAAATTCTTCTACTAATAATTTGTCAAATTCTAATACTTGATGAACAGTATGACTAAGCCAATTGGGATGAGTTAATAGCTGTGGCATTGTTTTTTGTAATTTGCGATTCACATCTTGTAATAAGCCCTGAATAAACTGGTCTTTGGCAGAAATATGTTTAGCAACAACAGGCTGGATGGTTGTCATCATAAATGGTATATGCGTGGAAATCGCGTTTTTGACATGCGTTAGATACCACTCTGGTTTGTCAATACGGTTGGTTGGTTTAGACGTCTCAAAATGGTATCGGAATCGCAAGGATAATCCTTCCAACATGATGGAAATAGGAATCAAGATTTCGTCTTGCTGTATTGTGCTAGATGATGTCTGAAGCATCAACAGATGGCGAAATGCTTGTTCAAACAATTCCAACTTGGATCTGAGTTGAGGTCCGTAGGGAGGTTTGATTTGTGTAGGCCATGATAATGTATCTAGTGTCTGCTTAAAATTCTTGACAAGAACAGCTTCTAGCTCTTCTCGAAGACGCATTTGACTCTTTTTCAAGTGCGTGTGCAAAGGTACATACTGTGGTTGTTGGGTTGCCTGTTGATCAATGTATTGCTCAAACTGAACCAATTGAACATAGGGTGTCATGGCTTGTTCTGGTGAAGTTTGAACAAGCTGTAATGCTTTCGAGCTAGGCAGATAAGTAAAATGAAATTCGTATTTTTCTTTACCTTAATTCTGACGCTACTAAAAGAGCTTTGATATAGCTCTTTGCATGATCCATCGTTCTTAATTTATCTTCAAGCACAGCTAATTGATCAAACGGATTTGCTTCTTTTTGATTGGTTGTTATGGACTGATCCATGCTTTGTTCTGTCGTTGCTAAAGAAACGGACAATTCTTCGAGAAAAGCGTGTTGTTGTGTTGCATTCTCAAGTGTTCTTTTCAAGACATTTTTTGTCTCTTTCTTTAAACTATCGAGCTGTAGACAAAGATGAGGAATCTATATATATATATATATATATATATTCTATGAAGGCTTACTTGTGCGTCAAGTGTCTTTTGTTCTTCTTTTCGAGCACTCAATAATGTTTTAATATGATCCAAGTTTAAGTCGCGTTCATGCTTGATATTGGAAGCAAGGAACTGCTCCAAGTCATCTACTTGGTTTGACATTAAAAAAAGGTGTGAAAAAGTAAGTTGAATTAGAAGCTTGAGCGTGCTTTAAATAATAACAGAAAAAAAAATGCTTTGTTCTTTTTCTTTCTTTCGTCAATATGAACTCGCGTTTAAAACTCGATACAAATAAACTTAACCCCAAATTCGAGGGCTATAAACTTGCTCCCTTGACTGACCCTAACAGTATTTGTCGTGTATCGCTAAATGATATTCAGCTATACAAACCTAACAACGACCAACGTCTCGGGTTCCGAGATCTTCAAGCACGCATTCGATATAGCCATTTGATATATGGTTATCCATTAGATCAGCATAGAGGTACATCCTTTTGTATAGATCAAGAATTCAATTTGCATCTCATTGTCTATAACAAGGCGAGTCGAGCATTTGATATATACATTTAAAATAACATGATGAAATTTTAGTTGACACAGGAAACGACGTTTACTTTGATTACTCAACTCATCAAGCCATTGGTTGGATACCCTGGATTCACTGAGCCTAACCGAGATGTGCCTATTGATCCTCAACCTCCATCTGCTATGGCTATCAGTCGAGAATTAATACTTGCTTCGAATGGTGTTGGTGATATTGAATTGATTGGCATCGAAGAAAAGCATGGTCGCATGTTAGGCACATCATTAGGTTCCGCTGCTTACATGGGCACGGGTACAGAAGGTGTCTCGCCTGTTCCTTGTGTCTTGCTTACGGCTCGCCAAGTCAAGACCAAAGTCCTATTTGTAGTCTATAGTAAAACAAAGACAAATGAATTCAATATTGCCACACTTGAATTGGCCATTCCTTCATCGCACACAAAACGATTAGACGATGGTTCGTTTGTGCTACAATTGAACACGTTACATATTCAAAAAGGAACAGAAGTACCTGTCTATTGTGCCATTACACCTTCTGGTAAACAGTGTATTTTGGGCAGTGAAGTCAAATACAACCCCGTCCATCCTGTGGTTGACCCTGATGAGCCTATGGAAGAAGTACCCAAGAAGCCATTGTACCAATGGAGTCAAGAGGGTACAGATATCACAGTCCAATTCGAATTGCCTCAAAATACACCCAAATCAGCCATTAGCTGCAAATTTTTGACAGACCATCTAAGCTTACTTGTCAAGGACACGGCGATTTCTTTTCCTTATCGAAAATTATGGAGTGCAGTGCAACCTGATGAATGCACTTGGACATTGGAAAAAGATACATTGACACTACTTATCACAAAGAAGGATGAACGCACACGGTGGCCACACTTGTTTGATCAGGATGATGGCGTATTGGAGACATTATCGCCCACTCAGTTATCAGAAATCAATCATAGACTAGCCAAATTTACTTCAGAAGAACCTCTGCATCCATCTCAACACCCTGCTGCTACAGATATGGATGAAGATATTGATGATGCAGGCACACCTATTGTGTTTAGTGTATACAACAACACATCAGGACTCGCTATTGATGAGTTCAACACAGGATCGTATCATTGGATTTGTTCATCCTATAACTATGAGGATGAGATGCCTTCTGTCTGCTTACAAATGGACGTGGATGGTCTTGTGTTTACCTTGACAGAGACACAAGATGGTCTTATTCAAGCAGAACATACAGCTACAATGGACGCGTTCGCCTTTGTTCAGGCATCCAAAAGAGATGCACGCTTTATTCATCATGATTCGGCTAGTTCTTTTGCTTCTATTGTTGAAAGCAGCCGAAATGCTTATATTTATTATCACCATGATGACAAACGATTAGTAGAAGATCAAGTCCTTGTTGATTTGACGCAAGGAAAACACGTCGATATTGTAGGTGCAACGAACATCCTAAAGAATACCTTGATGGTCTTGACAGAATCACAGCTGGTCATTGTTCACTTGTAAAATTTCCCAGGAGAGATTTTCTGACCTGAGAATTACACAACATGACAAATAAAACGGGAAAATATTCATGCTTTTGAACCTCTTTTAAAATACACTTTTTTTTATTTCTTTCTTTCTTTTAGTATGCTTATCTCTTGCCGTTTATTACCTTCAAAACCTGTTTCTGGGTTTGTTTTTCGACGTAACTTTTCTGTGAGTCAGTTTCAATACCGAGACTTTGTTCAACCTACCCGTGCTCCTTTAGAGGGTATTCGTGTCTTGGACTTAACAAGAGTTTTGGGTAAATAAGCATAGGGTTTGGCTAATACTAACATAATTGATAAGCTGGTCCATATTGTACAATGATGCTTGGTGATTTAGGGTAAAATAAACTTTTTTTAAATAGAGATAATCTTAACGTATTTTAGTGCGGATGTAATCAAGATTGAGAATCCTGTAGGTGGTGATGATACTCGTGCTTGGGGACCTCCTTTTGCTGAAAACAAAGACCCTTTTGATCCTAATCATGGTGAATCTGCTTATTTCTTATGCGTCAACCGTAATAAGCGATCTGTTACCGTGAACATGAAATCAGAGGGTGGTCGTCAATTATTGCATGATTTGGTGAAAGAGAGTGATGTTTTGGTAGAAAACTACTTGCCTGGCAAATTGGATCAAATGGGATTAGGATATAAAGAATTAAGCAAAATAAATCCTAGATTGATTTATGCATCTATCACAGGGTACGGGCAAACAGGCCCTTATGCTCATCGACCTGGATATGATGTGATTATTGAAGTAGGACAGACCTTGGAAAGGAAGAGAGATATATGTACTGACTATCTCTATAGGCAGAAGCAGGTTTAATGCATATCACAGGTGAACCTGAAGGTATGCCTGTCAAAGTAGGCGTGGCTATTACAGATCTCACCACAGGCCTTTATGCTAAGAGCGCTATTCTTGCCTCTATCATTCAGCGTGGTATTACAGGTCGAGGCCAGCACATTGACTGTTCTCTCCTCGAATCCCAAGTTGCTTCCCTTGCCAACATTGGATCCAATTTCTTGATAGGCGGACAAGAAGCAAAGCGTATGGGTACCTCTCACCCTTCGATTGTTCCTTACCAAGTGTTTCCCACTAAAAATTCATTTGTTATGATTGGTGCAGGCAACGATGGGCAGTTTGCCAAACTCTGTAAACGTATTGGTCTTGACCATCTAGTCGAAAATCCTAAATACTTGAAGAACTCGAATCGTGTAAAGCATCGTCAAGAGTTGATAGGTATCTTACAAAACCGCCTTACACAACACGATACATCTTACTGGCTTGAAAAGCTGGAAGGTGCTGGATTTCCTTTTGCTCCCATTAACAATATTCAAGATACATTCTCTCATCCACAAGTTGAAGCGAGAGGCCTTGTACAACAAGTAGAACATGAGCGTGCAGGCAATATTAAGATGGTGGGTCCACCTGTCAAATACAGTGAGAGTGAGACAAGTATTCGATTGGCTCCTCCACTTTTAGGTCAACATACAGAACAAGTCTTGTTGGACGTATTAGGTTATTCTCAAGATAAAATCAACGCTTTACATCAAGATGGATCCATTGGTTTATCTGTATGATTTTTATTAAATATATATAGTTTAGAACCGAATACCCATGCTTGGCCGGTCAAATGGATTAGGCGTAGAGCCTTTTCGCATACTTTGCTGTAATACAGATGGCAAAGGAACAAGACTTCCTTTGCGTTGTCTCTCTTGAATAAGAGGTGGTTTTTGATAAGCCAAGGTGCTTGATTTACTTAGTTTAGGTGAAGGGGATGTTGAGTGCATAAAGCTTTCGGGGGATGTTGTAGATGATTTGGAAGCAGTCAAGCGTCTAAATGTGGATGTACTGGGAGAGGCTGTTCTATACATGTCTTCTTCTTCATGTGCAAGCCTATTGGGTGAAGATGCTACGGATGAGGGGAATGGTGAGGAAATAACAGGAGATGAATCCATGCCTGCATATTCATGATGCTGTTGTTGTTGTTGTTGTTGCATGATTTTCTTTGCGTTAATCATGACTCTTAATGCACGTATTTGAAGTGCAGTTTTACCTGTGAGTGCTGATGTTTCATACACTAAGCTGGCTGTAGAAATAGTGAGTATTTGATGTAATGCGTGTGTTGCCAATTTGTTTAAACGAGGCAAATTGTATACATCAGACAACACGAGTAATCTGGATAGTATTTGAGGATGGTGTTGCTGTGCTGTCATGAGATGATCGGTATAAATGTATTGTAAGAACGCGAGTGTCACTGGATAACTTTCTGGAAATAATAGACGCTTGAATCCAGGCTTATCTGGCTTGTCTTGAAGTAGATTGGCAAAATATGGCCAACGTAAGGCAATCACATTCGAATTGGCAGGAATAGAACGCCCATCTTCTGTCATAATTTCAATGTCTGCCATACCAGGCTCATTTAACATGCTAAGGCCAAGTTCCTGAGCAACAGGCGCACATGTTTCTTTGGGATAAGTGTAGATACCAAAGGCTTCCAGGTCAACAGTAGCCAAGTGAGTAAAGTTAACTTGTCGGTGATTATAGTCTTCAAGCAATTCTCGGTTCCTATCACCAAATACAATGAACTGCTGCTTTGCTTCATGCAACACACCACGGTTCCAAGATCCATGCGCTAATACAGAGCCTGTATCAATTCGAACCCAGACAAGATTGGCCAAATTCAGGGCCCAGATATGAAAGGATTGATGAACGGGTGTCAGGTAAGTACCTGTCAAAATAAGATGATGACCTATCACATCTCCTGAGGGAAATCGAAGCCCTGGCGGTAAAGAAGAGCCTGACATGCATGATGAATGGTCTCTGAATTTAGCAGTGGCATGCATGGGTGAGAAACTCTGTAGATCACGTGCCACGTCTGTAAAATTATAATTGGAATACACACAGAGCGAGAGTTCTTTGTTGTCTGTTTCCCAAAAAGGTGGTGTTGCCATGATGTTGTTGTTGTTGTCGATTGAATTGGGATAAAATGCTACAGCTCGGTATGCACCATATTGTCGAGTCAGTGGACCACCATGGACCCAATCCATTGTCGAGAGCGAAAAGACATTGATTTCGTTAATGTATTGGTTAGACATGTCTTGTCCGCCCATCACCACTAATTTATCGGTAGCAATCACAGCCAAATGGGCATATCGCGTTTGAGGTGCATAAATACTTGGCTGTACATCAGGATACTTCCAGGTCATAGTTTCCAAGTTAAACAGACATACATCGTCTAATGCACATAAGCTTTGGGAAGAACGTCGAACGGAATAACTCATACCACCAAACACAACGAGATAGTGTTTATAGAGATTGCATGAATGAAAATATCTTGGTCTAGGTGGTGGTGGTGAATCAGGTGGAGAAATATAATGTGTCCAAGTGTAAGTCTCGAGGTTGAGAATGTACAAATTATTTGTCATTTGGCGGGAAGAAACCAATCGTCCACCAAACACATAGAGCTGGTTGCCTGCAACAATAGTAGATGCTCCAACAAGGGGAGGAGGAATGTCACCTGTAGTTGGTCTGGTTTCAGTCGTGAGATCTGCAATAGATTGTGTTCCTGAACTCATGATGAAGATGTTGAGATTTGAAAATAATAAAAAAATAAAAGAGAATGCGTCTGTTACTATATTATTTATTCTCCCCGAGAAGGGAAAGGGTTTTGAATGACAATATATTTTTTAAAAAGAGAGAGAAAGGAATGGTCTGTAAAAGAAAAAAGTAATTAAAACTACTCGAATGAACATTGTGTTACTCGAGTGATATGATTGTGAAACAGCTTTGGTAACAATAAACTCTATTTTTCTTTTCTCTTTTCCTTCTGTTCTTCTTTTTAAGTAGCTTCGATACAACATCATTCAGAATTCTTACTGTTTTAATCTATGTATTTTGTTTTAATTTATATACGGCTTATTTAATCAAAAGTAATTGATTAATCAACATTTCAACATCCGCGTTTTTTTTTTATTCATTCCCAAAGCGTACGCTTTTCTGTAAGGCTATTCGGGGAAAATGGGATTGTATGTTTAGAAAGTACTTGCTAAAAGAGATATATTTAGTCCTGTTTGCTTCAATTGATTCGAACCTGTCATTACACAAGAAAGAAAGTTTCCTTTGGCTGATTAGCAAACAAAGTTAGAACACAGTCTTCATGCATAAGTTTATTTAGAAAAAAAAAGTTTATGAATCGAGTGTTCAAGCGCAGTTAAAGTTACATTGACGATCACTTAATCTCGTACACCGGCAATTTTCATTCTCTTCAACTAGTTTCGAGGCCGTTATTTAATTTATGAGGATCAAAGTTTCTTTTTATCATAACAGGTCTTTCCTATTAAAATACGTTCTCTTGTCTGACCCATATTTAATAAATTGTATTTCTCTTTTAGTAATAAATACATATCAGCATTACATCTGATTGAAAAAGAATAAACAGAATGCCTTCAAATCAAATTAATTAAACTCAATACATTCAAATGAAAGTACTCGTCTATCATGTCAAAGACTAATTCATCACTGGAAATAAAGGACAATAAAAACAGTTTTCTATATATATATAGCATAAACTCTTTTTACTGTTCTTTAGCACACTAACATTTGACAATTAACCTTGATCTTTTCTTTAGGACTGTGAGAAAAATAAATATGTCTCGGCAAGGGTTTGATGACAAGTTGAAGCTGAGAGTTGACACATTTATTTCCTGGAACCTCCTTTCCTACTAAGAATAAGAATGAATTGACAGCGCAATTCTTCTTGTGTAGTAAAACCAAGATAACTATTTCTCAGAGCTAGCAAAAACACAAATACTTCCTTATATTTAGATGGACAGAATATTTAATAAATAAATAACAAACTCTTTCTTACCCAATACTCGTCCTTATTCCTGAGTGTAAGTCTATCATAGAGACAAAACTAGTCTAAAATGTTCTGTGTGAATGTAGGGTGAATGCTTCAAAAGAGTCTAAAAAAGCAGCTATTGAGTTTTCTTTTTTGTTAAAGTGTATCGTTCACAAAAAGAAACAACGTCAAATCTATACTTATAGCAAAAGTCATCTATGGCTTCTTGGGTTTCTTTAAAAAAAAGAAAAAAATAAAATCCCCACATGTCCTATCACATTTACAATACCACAGACAACTTACTGTCCTTTTATCCATTCTTTCGCTAAAACTAATAAATAAAAAAGAGTCACTTTTCATTCTATTTATCAATCAAGCACATACTTGAAAAAAGACTTGAACTTAAGCAGGCAATCATCAACTTATTTTGCCAGATAAACCAATCAAATGTACGTTAAAATACTGTGGTAATTGGATACAGTCATATTGTTGGTCAAGCCATGTCTTATGACTATATCCAGTATAATTATAATCAGGTACAGAATGTAATTCAACACGGGCTGTGTGTTCTTCCATAAAATAATATTACGTCATCCATTTTATAGATCTTTGCCTTTCAACATTAAATCGACGTCCTTGAGGTTGATTACAAGGCATTCAATTCAGCAATTTGCTTTCCTTTCTTGTTTTCTACCAATCAAAAGAACACATTTCAATTCAGAATTGATGAAATACGAATGTTGCCGAAGATATGGTAAAACTCAGCCCAAAATCCCTCTTTTGGTACAAAAGGCTTTTAGATTACGTATAGACCATTAAAAAAATTGCACATACACATTAGCTTAGCTTAGAGAGTCATAAAGAGTAATAGTAAATTTGTTTTTTGACATTTATAGATTTTACAAATAAAAAAAAAAAGCACGGCTCGGAAAGTCTTTTCGGCAGCGTTCGTATTGATATCGTCAAAATCATGTAAAGTGGGAAACATCGTAAGGATCTAATTGGCCAGCAGAAAAAAAAACGTAGCATGGAATCAACAATGGCGATCTTTGACCCTGAAGCATTTCCCACGAAAATATAAAAATACATGTCTAAAAAAAACATACATACACACACACACATACACACATACACACACACACACAAAAACTTATTTTCGTATGCAAAGTATAATCAACTTAAATAAACAAATGCACATTTTTCAAACTAAAAAAAAAAAAAAAAAAAAAGAGATGATGATGGTTTGCATATGGTGTAACTTTAAATTTTTTTTTTTTGTTGATTTTTATTTCTTGAAAGCAAAATAAGAAAAATTACAAGTAAAACGAGAATTAAGAGTATTTTGTTGGGTCATAACAACAAAGAATGTCTTTCACTTTCTTTGATAAAAAAGGGTATTGAAACCTTTTAGGTAAAAAAAAAAAATAATAATAATAACAGAGAAAAAATTTTCACCCAATAAAAAACGAATTTCAAAATGATTCATTGTAAATGGGCCACTCCTAGACAATTTTCCCACAGTAAATAAGAGATAAGGCAAGCATTTTTTCCAAATTGGGCAAAACTGAGATCAACATTTATTTACAATTTATACAACATATGAATATATACGGAATTATGAGGATGAAGATGAAGCTGCAACAACAGTCCATCGGCCAGCATCATTAAGTACATCACAAGAAAGTGCTTTGCCAGTATGGTAAACAAGGCCATCTTGACGGACAAGTAACAAGGATAATTCGAGATTTCTGCGACCATCAGGGAGCGTTGTCAATAAATCATGATTAGCCACTAATAAGTCTTGTGTGGATGGAAGTTGAACAGACCAATGAGTTTCATGAGGTGTCTGTGGTTGAGGTGGTTGTGATATCCTAGTAACAAGAGGGCCATGTGTGCCTAACCAAAGATCTAGCAATCTAGGCACAGGGGCTGCTTGAATCAAGTGCTGTCCAACAACGTCAAGTGTATGGTCATTTTTGTATTCAATCTTGGTCAATAATGGAAATGGAGTAATATGTCTAGGTGGTGAAGGAGGTGGAGTGGTTGCTGAGGATGTTTCTATAACAGATTCTTGAACGTCAGTAATGTCTTGTTTACTAAGTTCTTGGTTTTCAAAGTAATCGTATTCAAATTTCTTAATGCCTACAATAGTCCAGCAAACATAGTCATCTACTTCTTCATAGCCAAGTTCAAGAGACATTCTATCAGGCTGGACAAGTCTAGAAGGAGAATAATCAAGCCATGTGTTATTGTTGTTGCTATGATGATTTGATGAGTCATGATGATTCATAGTTGTATCGTTCATAGCACCAGCAGCACTCAAGTAAATAGGTTGTGAGTGAATAGTAGAAGCAAGTTGAAGTGCCACCTTTTGCATCTGGCTCACTGGTCCATAAGCGCATTGAGCAATACGGCCTTTATCTACCTTGCGAATGATAAGAGAAGGAGAGGTAACACCTGTTTGAGAGTCTCGCAAGATGATTTCGGTACCATAAGTAACATGCATAGGCGGCTTGTTTTGTTGTTGTGGTTGTTCAAGAGAAAGGGGGGGAGGAGGAGCCAACTGGATACGAGAAGTGAAGCGACCACTGATAGTGGTCGTCATCTGTTGCTTTGTAGGTAATTTATGAGGCTGAGGCAATTTGGGTTGATTGACAATGATGATATCAAAAGGAGACCAAGTTGTGTTCTTTGCACAGAGCATATTGTTACTGGAAGTCATGTATTTGGTACGCACAGTTTGTGAATTGATACGATTGAACAACGAGACTGGAGAATTGGCTAGAATACAAGTAGATACATTGCGAGTCTTGGCTGTCTTCTTTGAAGGCTTTGAAATAATCGAAATGGGTTTCGAAATAAAAGAAGCTAAAGGTTCAACCGATGTCTCTTGTTGAGAAGGTGACATGGGGGATGAAGGAGCAGTAGAGGTGGTACTAGGCAAGATATCTACCTTAAGATTAAATTGCTTTGCTTTTGCAGTACCAGTGACATGAAGATATTTGAAACTGCCAGTTTGGTTCTCATCCAACATGGAGCGTTGTTCCAAGATTTTATCGCCATTTTCACAAACAACAGACATAGAAAGATGCATTCTTTCAGTATGTTGTTCATTATTGAGTTTAGCTGAAAAAGGCGATTTGATTTGGACGATAGGAGGAGGGCAAAGAAAGCGTTTTTCAGAACCATAAGACTTTTGTGCCACTGAGGCATGGAGACATGTGATAGTTGTCTTTTGCTTTGTGGAAAATAAAGGCGATTTTTTCTGCTGTTTCTTTTTATGGCGTTGCTCTTCTTCGTCCCTTCTACGTTTATGATTGCTTGTATTGTCAGAAGTTAAAAGTGAAGCAATGCTGACTTCATGAGTAGAAGCGGAAGGGGATTGACGATAATGATTGTAGTTGACAGTATGGTTGTGCGAGGATTCTGCCAAGGAACTGTTGGTAGCTAAAAGTGATTCAATAGACATGGATTGATGTGTTGATGATGATGATGATGATGATGATGATGATGATGATGCACTTGTACTGTCTTTGTCATTGTTGTTATTAGTAGTAGCAGAAGTAGTAGTAGTAGTAGTAGGTGGATGTACATGGTCAATAGCAGTCAAGAGTGGATCCATAGGTGTTGTAGGTGCTTCTGATAGTTCAATAAACTTAATTCTTCGACTACTGCCGAACACTTGTTCAGTTATAATGCGTGCTTTCTGTTCCATTTTTTCTTTCTTTTTTTTTATGAAAAAAGTTAAAAGAAGGTAGAAAAAGAAACTAATAAAAACTTTCACGATTTTTTAGTATTTTATAGTCAGTCTGAAAAGGTTTTTACTAATCGGGCAAGTAGATAAATTCAGCTCTTTTGATGAGATATTGTTCAAAGATCTTATCACGTGCACAAAAATCTCACTAAAAGCGACACTCTAAAATATTTCTCAGGATTTCAACAATAAACAAGATATAAGCATAACTATGCAGGAAAGAACAACTAACAAAAGAATAAATACATTGCTTCTTTTATTCTCTATTTTCTTTTCTTTTGTGTGTGTGTGTGTGTGTGTGTGTGTTTGTGTGATCATCCCCCAAAGAGGAAATGATAAGTTTGGCTTATCTTATTCGCTTTTACTATTTACTCCTATTTGACAGGAACACCATGTGACTTGACAATACTTGTTTTAGAAGACAAAAATGATCAATTAGGATCACGCTCTCTTGTTCAAGACCGACGACTTTCTATATTTGGCTACGTGAGAAATACGTGAGAAAATAGATTTCAAGGGGGAGAATTGCAGTCTGTGCTTGGAAGTTTGAATTTCTCCGAGTGAATAAAAGCAACTCATATAATTAAATAGGAATACATGAATAAGGGAGCATTCTTGTTCTATGATAAATTTAGGATATATATGCACATTTAGATCTCTTTATTTCCATTTTTGTTTTGATAATCTCGCATGAAATTACTTGATAGACTCATTGCAAACTCGGTTGATTGGTTAATTTTACCAGATATAAATTGAAGGGCATAAAAAAAAAAAGAGCTTTTATATAGTCATTCGACATTATCACCTGTTTTTTCTTTTTGGCTGATGTTTGTTCAACGTGAATTCATACTCTATTTTTATTGAATTGCATGCTTTTATAAATCTTTATTGTAATGAGTCACTTTTTCAACATCTTATCATACGCAATGATTGGTTATTTAAAGTCTTTATCAAAAACATGGTTTTCACACAATAGCGTGCGAAGCTGAATGTAAGATGATTTATCTATTGTATGCCGTGTGATTCAAATTGACCTGATATTGTGCCATTTGTTTCTATAAAGATACCATTGCTTTCTTAATGACTAACACAACAGAGTACATTAACATTGTGTATAGGAATGATTGACTTCGACTACTTTTATATAAACAATAGATATACGATAGTTAGACAAAGTTTCTTATAAAAAAAAAAGAGGCAGACCTGTTTTATATACACAATTGTGCCTGAATCTAACTAAATGCACTTTATTAAGTTGTTCCACATATCAGTGTGTTCTTTTATCATGGATAAAATCGCGGTATTGGGTTAAGAAGAATTGTGCATGTCTCAATGAGAAATGTATTTTACTTGGTTTCATAAACCAATACAAGAGAATCAATTCATTTGCTCAAATATACCTAATGAAAAACGTCTCTTTTGGTTGCTGCATGTTTTTGTTTTGGACTATTTTCTTATTCACATTTTTTGCCTGGCTTTTATGTCTTGATATTCTCTTCTAGGTCTACTGTTTTTCTTCTTTTCAACCAAAAGATAAATGTGTCGACAATGATTACTCTTTTTTTTTGTACAGCTGAAGAAAATAGGTTGGACCACAAAAAAAATTAACCTATTTTTTTTTTCAAGAAAAAAATGATGGTCTCTAAGGAACTTGAAAAATATATTTCTACTTATTTAATGGCGAGCACTCCGTCCACTCCAATGTACACTCCAGTTCCTACTCTAAAAAAGAAGCATAATTGTATGCATTTTGAGAATACAATTGCTATTTGTTCTATGGTATTTTTTTTCATTTTATTATGCCATGTTCTTTTTTAGCACAGATAAATCATTTATCTTTAGATGCACATGTAGTGCTTTCATGTTTAAATAAACAAAAACGTTAGCGTATTTCAATTTCATACTGATTACAGTGTACAATGAACTTTGAATATAGATTTAAAAGCAATGCTCAAATGAACTGGCCTTTTTTTTTTATCTTAGTAAATTCGCTTTCTTTTTCTTAGAAGTACTCAGACATTGCCTTATCTGGTTTCAGTTGGATCAGACCTACATTGGGTCATTCCGAAAAATTCTTCATCTTTACGAACCTCCCTGAACCTCCCATAGGTCAAAAAAAATGAACTTCATCTGACAGCCAAACCAATGGTACCATTTGATTGCTAGACTCCAAAGAACATGTTTCGAATAAAAAGAGAAGCCGTTTGGTAGTCTGGTTGTCGAGTAATGGTACTTTAAAGAATGGTGCGTTCAAGCTGTGTTTTGAGCGTTTTTGCTCTAAGTACCATATAGAATTTGCAATTAATGGATCTCTCTGAAGCATCTTATATTGTCTTGAGTACTAAGAAGTATGGAGATATAGAAAAAAATAGGCATTCTTATAATACGAATGTGGACTAAATGAATGTAGAACATACCAGATGGCAGTTTGCGATATAAAAAGTACAACAGCTTTGCTGCTAAAATATTGAGTGAATACGCAAAAATGTTTACAGGGTTTTCTGTCCATATCTCATTATTTTTATAGCACAACTGTTAAGCAAACACACTTGCGAGAAACTAAAGCTTTTGACACACATTTTGAGTATCTAAGCTTGTCAATCGCTCTATTTCTCGTCTTGTAGCATCAAAAAGAGGCTCAAGGTTGAGTGATCATTTTGGTCAAACTTTACAAGTCGACTCCAAAGGTACCTCGTATATTAGTAGACATTGTCTGTAGGTATTTGGAGCATTCGTGAGTGCATAAACAGGGTTCTTGGCTCTTTGTGTAGCTATACAGCCATGTTTATACGTGTGTTCTTTTGATCTGATTATTTCTAAAATCAATATACCAAGCTGTACACGTTTCTTATAAACATCTATATATTTTGTAAGGCACAGCATCCTTTTCTTGTTGACTACGTTTCTTTGAATGATTTTTTTTATCCATTTTCAACTTTTCATGCACTCTTGGTATTAAAAATAAGCCCTCACAGCATATCCTATTTTACATATTGATTAAATATACTTAGCATAAAGTTATTTTATTGATAAATAAATAAAAAAAAGGGGGCACTTTGTTTGGTTCTCAAAGACAAGCTTTGATACTAACAGGATCAACCACGAGAAGGTAAAAGTGCATCTGATCCCAAAAGGAATGAAGTTATGATTGCTTTGTAGGGTAAACCAATGTCCTTGCATGACTTTACCACGACCCAGAGAATGCTTTGCGTAGTGTTGAATCACCAACAGCTAACTTACAGGAAGACATTCCCCAACTTAGGCACCAGAAAACTCGATTCAATTGCTTTTGATCTTGATTGCAGTGGACCCAGTAACCACAACCAACATCGTTTGGCATCACCCAAACGCACCAAGAAACAACCAAATCGATGCCGCCTTGCAAGTGTACTGCGCCATAAAAGAGACAGAAAAGAGAGAATTGATTTTTTTGATTCACTTTGTAGAATGAACAAGACAACGCCAGACTTTAGGCTTCAATATCATGACTAACCAGTGTTTTTTTAAAAAAAAAAAGAAAAGAAAACCAAATCGGATCCGCCCATAACACCAATTAGCCACAAACAGCCCAAAGTACAGAGAAGTCAGGATATCACACCATGTCCCTATACCGACATTTCAAAGACTAGTGTTTCATAGCTTTTGGCCATTCCCTAATGGAAATGTCTACGCAGCAAACCAAAGATAGCCATCAGGTAGTGAACCATGACCCACGACTTGCCCCGGCTGACCGGTTTCATTGATGATTGAATATACAAGTATACACTGGCCCAAGTATATAAAAAAAAAGAGGGTGTCAAGCTTATCCGCATAAAAGCAAGCCCGCCTTGACTACGGTATTGTACTGGACGAGTAGGGAATCTTGTCAATCCAGACTAGCAAAGCCAGACTAGACGAAGCGCAAGTAACCAGCAAGTCAACTCAAGTACCCGTCAGCTTTGCCGTGAGGCTCCGCCCAGACGGCACCAGGCCCCTTTTTTCCCGCTAAGGACAAGTAGGTATACGAGAGCAACTTCACTCGCTTTGACGCACAATAGAGGGGTTCAGACACAGTATACAGGGTATACCATGCTTGCTCCTGTATCACAGCTACACTTGATTTGCAATCGCTTTACCACGTTCCACCTGATGAGGAAGAAGACATGTGCAAAACTATGACGAAGAAAATCCCCTCTTGCGAGAGAACCTAAACCAAATGAAGACGATCCAAGCATAACGGCGAGGATTGCAATACGGTGTTAGGTACAGTGTGGCCATAGACTAACAGAGCGGTATCAAAAAAGTACAATCACCAAGAAACTGAGGTCGACACGTGTACATGAGGTGATTCTAATACACAGACGCGTATAGGAGACGGTTAGGCGTATTGCAACATATAAAATGAAGCAATATTAACCCCAGTACAGACACGAAGCGAGAGACTCCCTCTTTGTAGAATATGCACATCCCTTGAACGTTGCTGTGGCGCGGTGTTCGCAGAATATGCTGCTGCCACACAGCTCTACCTCTCATTGAACTATAAAAAAATAGCAATCACAACAGAAACTACTTGAGGAAGGTTTGGGGGTTGAAATGCCTCAGTCTATAATCGCACGTACAAGGACCTAAAGACCACAAGTACATGATAGACCTTATCATTTCTGTAGCAGTTTCTATAAGGAAAAAGAAAGACTTTTTTTTTTACGTTTGTTTAATGCGTCAGCATTGTGTGGCGGTGTTTATAATTTTAGCATGTGATAGAGATGGACTTTTGCATAAAATAGATGAGATTATTGCTCAAGGTGTTTCAGCACTATGAATATAAGGTAGTACTACTGTCTGGGACTACTTTGGCATGAAAAAAAAATAGATTTACTAATGAAGGCAAAGGACCGTTAGAGCAACGACTGATAGAGAAAAAAAGCGTAAAAAGAAGTAAAGAAAAATATGCAAGCCCTAATGGAGGTAATGAGCAATGAAAAGTTGTCTGATTCAGCTGTATTCTTTGTATAGTGCTACCAAAGCATCCATTGACCTTGTGCATCAAAAAATCATACATGTCAATCAACTCTTCTGCAGTACGATTAGAAAATGATCAGGCAATGTTTACTAATATTCAAGAGTCGATTTGAACAAAAGCGACTTGTAAAATTTGACCAAAATGATCATTCGGCCAAAGGCTACTAGTCATCAAAATTATCTGTTTGACAACCCCTTGAGCCTCTTTTTGATGCTACAAGACGAGAAATAGAGCGATTGACAAGCTTAGATACTCAAAATGTGTGTCAAAAGCTTTAGTTTCTCGCAAGTGTGTTTGCTTAACAGTTGTGCTATAAAAATAATGAGATATGGACAGAAAACCCTGTAAACATTTTTGCGTATTCACTCAATATTTTAGCAGCAAAGCTGTTGTACTTTTTATATCAATAGACTCGGGGAAAAAAAAAGAAAAAAAGAAAAAAAGATCTACAACTTTTGTCACTACATCAAAGTCAGATAATCGTGTCTTTATGCAGTTCTCAGCAAAAGCTTCATTTTTATTGCGGCTTTTTTTTTTTTTTTTTTTTTTTTTTTCAAGAGACAGGCGCAATTCATACAGAATTATATTATGCAGCTATGCTGCAAATTAACCAGATAGGATAATATGAAAGGTATGCCACTGCTATGAGTGGAAGAAAAATTAAGAGAAGAATTACAGTGTGTACTTGCTTTTCATCTGCAAGCAGCCGTAAAGCAGCTGTAAAGCAGCTGTAAAACGGTATGTGTTTGTTGTAGAGTGGAGTAGACATCAAAAGAGACGTTGTCAATAACAGATCTCCAGTGTGCTTTCCAGACTTGCGAGAGGGCGGTAATGACAATATCAACAACGGCCAAGTGTTTCTTTCGTGAATAATCCATTCTGGAGAAGTTTAGTGTAACAAGTGCCTGAATAATATCTTCGACAGTATTTTTATTGCGGCGGGAAGAGGAGCTAAAGCTTTTTACATTTTCTTCGTTTCGGTCTCCGAAATCTGCCATTTTGTGTGCATGATGATGTTTTGATGCCATTCAAACACACACAAAGTCAATGAGATTGTAGGTAGCCGTGTTAAGAGATTTGCATACAGCATACACTCGAATTGCAAGATACAAGAATATCAGTGCACTTACTACAAGGATAAGAATCAAACGCTTCAAAAAAGGACTGCATCGTCTTGATTACACGCCACTGTCAGATGTGTCTTTGCTCATAGCCATTGCTCTATCAAGATCGATATGTCTCAAGTCATGAAATGCCACTTCTTTCTTGAAAAGAACATGGATTTCTGCCTTTTTTTTTTTGTAAAGGTAATACACAGTTATTGTATCTCGAAAATGCTTCTTGGTCTCAATGCTATTCAAAATGAGCCAATCATTTTTTTTTATCCTCACACACGTCTTCGCGTCACAACGCGTTTAGAGAAAAAAATTATTTATTTTCTCGCTTCTTATTATGAGTGACTATAAAGAATACCTTGATATTGCTGTTTTACAAGAGAAGAGACCTGTATGTACTTTATTATATAGCTACTGTTCTTACTTTTTTTAGGTCAATTATAAGTCATTGGCAAGATCTTTAGGTATTCATGTCAATACAGCCAAACAGTAAGCAAAGAATGTGTAGTCCACTACTGACTATCTACAGAGCTCTTTATGAATTCTCCAAGGACCAACCAAATGTACATGCTATCTATTGTGTCACGGGTGTCCATTTTAAAACAAATTATTTTACAATTCAACTTGTCAAAGAATCTGAACTTGAAGGTAACGTCCATCTTTTTATCTTTCCCTTAAACTGAAGAAGATGCGTTTTTAGATGCCAAAAAGACTTTCAAGACACTCACGGGTATTCATGTCTACAGTGTGTCATTTTCTGATTTAAATGATGCCTCGTTATTATATGCTGCTTGTAAGAACATGCCCAAGTTGTCGCTTGAGGATCGTATTCAATATGGTGCTCTAAAGAATGCCCATGTCGTCCAAAAGACAGCCTCTCTTCCTCCCTCTTCAAAGCCTTCCACTAAACCTGTGAATCCCGCAGTCAATAACAAAAGAAAGGGTGCTTCCTTATTTAGCACCATTGAAAAGAAACAAGCTGTATCTAAGCCTGAAAAGAAAGCACCTATTCCAAAACCACTCAAAAAGGCAAAGAAAACAGATGAGGGTAATGTATAGATCAAAAAGGGAGGTTTCTGTCTAAACATAATTAGATGAAATAGAAAAACGCATGGCGAAGACAACTATTAAAGCAACCGATATTTTCACAGATGATGAAGAGGAAGAGCCTGCAGAACAAGTAGCTACTTCTCATAAAGAAGATGATATGATGGAAGACGTAAAGACAATAGAAGAAAAACCATCACAACAAGAACCCTCTTCACCACCACCACCACCACTACCAGAGAAATTAAGACGACAGGTATTGAAAAAGAAGACAACCACCAATGCTCGAGGTTTATTAGGTATGTCTTGAAGGAATCAAAAGCCAGTCATGACTAATCCATCCATAAAAGTGACTGAAGAAGTGCTTGAATGGGAAACGATAGATCCAAATGAAGTAGAGAGCAAGTCTATCAAACAAGTTAAACCAGTAGAGAATAAATCAAATACAACAAGAAAGCAACCTACAAAAACAACCAAAAAACCCACTGCACAAGCCAACTTGTTTAGCTTTTTCAAGAAAGCATAAGTATCACAAGTCTATAGTTCAATAATAATGATAATAAAGCCAAAGACAGCATAATTGTGCAATCTTTATTTGTTATTTGAAACCATCTATTGTTATTTACTTGATGGATTTCCAATACTTTTTCTGGACTTCTTTCACAGCTTGTATGGTATCAATACATTCTTTTTTAGGTACTAGTTTAGGATCAATTGTATCTGGAGCATCACCCAAAAGGACATTCATACAAGCAAGAGCAGAGACTGCAATGGAGTTGAGATTATAACCACCTTCTAAGGCAATCACAACCTTTCCATCTGCAAGTCCCTTCAACATATGGGTCATTTGGCCATAACCAGCAGGTGTCACTTTACATTTACCAATAGGGTCATTTGTAGCAGCATCAAATCCAGCAGAAACTATGGCTGTATCAGCTTGACATACACAAGAAAAAAAAAAAAAAGATCGCTTACCAATGACAACATCAGGGTTAAATTCCATAGAAATAGGCATCACCACTTGATGAAAAGCATAAAGATAATCTGCATCTGTCATACCAGCACAAGGCCAAGGTATATTGACTGTCTTGCCCAAACCTTTACCATAGCCTGTATAACTAGCAACACCTTTCTCATCACTAGGATAAAATGAAGCATCTTCAAATCGATGAAGTGAAATATACAACACATTTGGATCTTCAGAAAAGATACATTGAGTACCATTACCAAAATGTACATCCCTAACAGAAAAAAAAAAAAGAGTAAGTACTGCTCTTCCTTTTAAAGGGTTATTTACCAATCCACAATCAATGTCTTTTTAACACCTAGTCTTTTCATGGCATCTCGAGTAGCAATAGCCACATTATTAAACAGACAAAACCCCATAGGCATGTCCATTTCTGCATGATGACCTGGAGGTCGAATAATAGCAAATGCATTCTTGATCTTATTCTTAATCACAGCTTCTAAAAGCTCAATTAAACTACCAACAGCATACAGACTACTCTCAAATGAGTTACTGTTCAGATAGATAGAATCAAAATGATGTTCCATAGCCATGTATTCTGCTCTGTTCTTCAAGTCTATCATCTTATATTTCAATCACCGCTCAGGAACCCATTATCCATCCCCCTTTTTTTTTTTGCTTACCCGAAGTGGCTCTTAGTTTACGATAATGAACAATATTATGTACCAGCAATATCTCTTGCTTTGTAGCTCGACGACTCTTGATACGCTTGCATTCTCTCAAGAGCCCTTCACGCTCCATGATATTGAATATTTTGAAAATACGATGAGGATCTTCAGGATGAATTTCCATAGGGTCTGGTGTAGCATGATACGACATGGCAGTATCATACACAAAGCCAGTCTTAAGAAAACGACGTTTGTTAAGGGGTTTAAGGACGGTCATTGGCTTAGGAGACCGAGCATGAGACAATGAGGATCCTGGAGGTTTGGGCGTTCGTTTGGGCCGAGAAGAAACAGCTATGTCAGTACCATCACTGGACGGATAGTCTGTCTCAAACTGATCGAAATTGACAGAGTTTTTGAGGTCATCATATGTGCTTACTTGGTTTCTACTTTGGCGTATAGGATGGCGTTTGAGGACCATCGGTATGGATGGCGTGGTCTGAGGAATGTAGTCACGTGATTGAACAAGCAACGATGGTTCTTTTGTTTCTTTGGGTTCAGTTGCATTGTCAGGTACATCAGTGACTTGTACGTCATCCTTCAAAGCATCTGCTTGTTCAGGGGCTTCCTCGTGCCTGTTGTTTGAAGGATGCTTAGGCGACTCTTGTGGTTGTTGATCTTGGTTGCATGTCGTATTCTCTTCTGCTGTTTCTTTTTTGTTTGTATCTCCGACAGGCAACATAGCATCAATCTGTAAATACACAAACATGAACACACAACACACACGCGCGTGCGTGTCAATATGCGTCTGGTTCCCATCGAAAATCACTTACCTCAACATCAATTTCGCGTTCCATGACTGACTGTCGAGCGTGATGGGTGGGCAAGTCATCTTCATCATCCGATGAAAGTACGATAGTCTCAATGGGTGTAGGTTGGGTAGTCAAACTACCTATAGTCGCTGTCATTTGTAAGTGGTCTTGAGAGCTATTCAAGATGCTTTCACCTACATTGACATCAGAAGGTAATGGTAGAGTATCTTCAAATTTTGATTTTTTGGTTGAAGGTGAAGTTGGTTTGTCACTGGCTCGTTTCATGATAAATAAGAAGAAAAAGAAGGGAATTAATGCGTATCAAAGAGCCATCGTTTGTCAAAGGCATATTTAAAAAAAAAAAAAAATTGAAAAGAAGTATGTGACTGCCAAGCCTAAAAAAACGAAATGAAAAAAGGACTACTTTCTTCTTCTTTCTTCTGCTACGCATAATGAGCAATACACCTCTCACTCCTGAAAAGCAGACTATGCCCTTGATCCCAAAAGATCACAATTTCGAAGGTGGTGATTCACCTGCTTCAAACATGGACACCTATCCTGCCAAACGTAGAAAAATCGATCTTCAAGATGAGGACGCGTTATCTGACGACGACACTTCTATGCACAATGGACTTCCTATTGATTCAGAATTTAAGCCTTCTAAATGGCAAGGGACGATTAACACGATTGTCAAAGCAATTGTTTCGATTCGTTTTAGTCAAGTAGCTGCGTTCGATACTGAAGGTACTGTGTTTATTTATTTAAGTTTATGGACTGACTCTGTTTCTGTAGGTCCAGAGACTTCAGAAGCATCAGGATTCATTGTGGATGCTAAAAATGGTATTATTTTAACTAACCGTCATGTTGCTTGTGCTGGTCCTTTTGTGGGTGAAGCCATTTGTCATGATCATGAAGAAGTTGATGTGTTTCCCATTTACCGTGATCCAGTGCATGATTTCGGTTTTCTCAAGTAAGCATCGCTTATGTATATCGACAATTATTGACGTTGGTATAGATTTGATCCAAGTAAGATCAAGTACATGCCATTGATTGAAGTAGAACTTCGTCCTGAATTAGCTAAAGTGGGGCTTGATATTCGTGTGGTTGGGTAAGTAATCACGATACATCACTGGTATACTTACTTTGTGCCTAGTAATGATGCAGGTGAAAAATTGAGTATTTTAGCAGGTTCTATTTCACGTTTAGACCGTAATACACCAGAATATGGAGATTTGACATATAACGATTTTAACACATTTTACTTGTAATGTCGATGTATTTCTTTTTTTTTTAGATAAAAGATACTCACTCTTTTTTTTTTTGGACTATAGGCAAGCTGCTTCAAGTACAAGTGGTGGTAGTTCAGGTTCTCCTGTGATTGATATTGATGGCCATGCTGTTGCTCTTCAAGCAGGTGGTCATACTAAAGCAGCCACTGACTTCTTTTTACCTCTGGATAGAGTGAAGCGTGCATTAGGTTTTATTCAAAGGGGCCTTCCAGTACCCCGTGGTGATATTCAGACACAATTCACGTAAGTCAATAGCTCTTATGCATGCATTGTGACATTTTGATAGTTACCGTCCATTTGATGAAGCACGTCGATTAGGTCTTCAGTCAGAAACAGAAGACACTCTAAGAAAACTCTATCCAGATGAGATTGGTCTTTTAGTTGTTGAGACCGTCTTGCCTGATGGTCCCGCTCATAAGAAACTAGAAGAAGGAGATATCCTGTTGACAATGAATGGTCAATATGTCACCAAGTTTGTTCCATTTGAGTCTATGCTTGATACCAATGTAGGCAATATGATTCAAGTAGGCATTGAAAGAGGCGGACAACCCATGGAACTCAGTATTAGAGTGGGAGATCTTCATGCGATGTAAGTATGATCTCCATAGGTCTATGCTGACTATCAAATAGTACACCTGATCGCTATGTTGAAATAGGCGGTTCAAAACTAAATGAAGTGTCTTATCAACTAGCCCGTGCTTACTGTGTCCCTTGCCGAGGCGTCTATGTAGCTGAACCTTCTGGAAGTAAGTGGGCGGCATGATCATTACTCAACTGACAATGTATGTAGTGTTTCGACTGGATGGACCTGACAATGGTTGGATCATCAAATCAGTCGATGATAAAGAAACACCAGATTTAAGCACATTCATTCAAGTCATGAAGACTATTCCTGATCGTGCTCGTGTGCCTGTTGTTTATTATTCTATTGCAGACACACACACTATCTTGGTGGCCGTTGTCCAAGTCGAAAGACACTGGTCTAGTTTTCGATTGGCAGTGAGGAATGACAAGACAGGTTTATGGGATTTCACTGATCTGGGTGAACCATTACCACCTAAACTGATGGAACCCTCTACTAAGCATTTCATTCAATTAGATGATAGTTTAGGACCTGCTAAAGACCTGATTCGTTGTTTAGTCAAGGTCAACTATTATATGCCATGTCGATTGGATGGATTCCCTCGTAGTCGTAAACAAGGGGCTGGTGTGATTGTAGATAAAGAGCATGGATTTGTTGTTGTCAGTCGTAGTATTGTGCCTACTTCCATGGGTGACCTTACATTGAATGTAGCTGATTCCCTTGTGATTCCAGCCAAAGTCTTAGTAGGATAGCCCCCCCCCTTTTTTTTTTCTTGGTTTGTTTTAACTTTCTTTGTTTGTTTAGTTTCTGCATCCTACGCATAACTTTGCTATTGTACAATATGATCCTAAATTGTTAGGTGATACAGATGTGATGAGTGCACCCTTGAGTGACAAGACACTTTCTCAAGGCCACCCAGTGACACTTGTTGCCCATAATCATAACCAGCGACCTGTGTGCCTCAAGACAGTGGTGACTGATGTTACTTGTATCACCATTCCACACAATGGGGTAAATGTTGCCATTTTAAGTGCGATATCCGAGAAAATAACCCTTTATTAGACACCGCGTTTTAGAAGTATGAATATGGATGCCATCACATTGGATACGCCATTAGCCCTTCAATGCTCTTCTGGTTTATTGGCCAATCCTGAGGGCCTTGTTCAAGGTCTTTGGATGAACTTTTTAGGGGAACGTAACATGAATGGCCATGATAATGAATATCATCTTGGTATCCATATCTCCACTGTACGACCTGTTCTAGATAAACTCAGAAGAGATCAACAGGTTGTTCTCCGTAGTCTAAATGTAGAATTAACGCCTGTTCAGATGGCACAGGCTGCTGCCATGGGGCTCTCTGATCAATGGATTCATAGAGTAGAACAAGCCAATCCCGCTAAACACCAATTGTTCATGATTCGACGTACAGAAGCAGGGTGTGAAAGTGCCAAGGTACTTCAAGAACTCGACTTGATCTTGTCTGTCAATGGTCAGGTGGTCACTCGTATGTATGAGATGGACATTCAGTATGAATCAAATGAACTTGAGATTACCTTATTACGTGCCAAAAAAGAAATGACTGTCAAGGTCAAGACCAGTCCTGTTTCTGGTGATGGTACAAGTCGTGTTGTATTCTGGGCTGGCGCAGCATTGCATGGTAAGGCAGGTTATTGTATGTTATCACACAACTGACTTGATATGTTAGAACCCATAAGGCTGTACTTCAACAGAGCAAGACACTTCCCTCACGTATCTATATTTCTGCTCGCTCTAAGGGTTCACCCGCTTATATGTATGGACTTGTGCCTACCATGTGGATTACGCATATCAACGGTAAACAAGTCGTCACTTTGGATGATTTGATTTGTGCTGTAAAGCATATTCAAGACAACACTTATGTTCGTGTTCGTTGTGTCAGTTTTGACAATGTACCTATCATGCTTTCTGTCAAAATGGTCAATCATTATTTCCCTCTTGTGGATATGGTCAAAGATCCTAAAGCAGAATGTGGTTGGTCCAAAAAAGATGAATAATAGATTGTAAATAGATATAAAAACGTAACTCTTTTCTTTTCTTTTCTTTTTTTTTTTTTTTTTTAAAAATCATGATGGATATAAAAACCTCAATTCAACCTAAAAAGACATTCAAGGTTGTGTCTGTGTTACTTGGTATTTTGGTAGCTTATAGTGTGTATTGGATCATCTCAATTGAAGCCAAGGGTCGTCAAGGACTCACTACACATACTCAATGGAAACATATTATACAAGACCATCCTTATGAACGCAAGGAAACGGATCTTCGTTCTCCTTGTCCTATGTTAAACACGCTTGCTAATCATGGCTTTATCGCCCGAGATGGCCGTAATATAAAGTCAGATGATCTGTTTAACGCCCTTATGTTGATGGGTGCACCCCCTATCGTCACTGTTGGGTTTCTCAAGTATGCTTATACCACTTTTAGTGAACCCAGTCCTGTCTCTTTCTTTTCTCAGTTTAGTGGTTCAGATGGCTTGGATTTGGATCGACTAAAGATCCATAATATCATTGAACATGATGTCTCTTTAACTCGTCAAGATACTGCTTTGGATCCAGCTGGTCTTCCACAGCCTGACTATATCCAGAGAATGTCTCGATTAGCCAAATACAAGCATCATCAACACATATTTACACGTCAAGATGAAAATGACGCAAGAAAATTGCGCTGGTTGGAATCTATCAGAGACAATCCATGGGTCCATTTGAGCTTATTTCATCAGGTAAGCATGCGTAAAAGACGACCGTTTGATAACATATCCCCCCCCTTAGTTTGCTTCAAGCACAGAATGCTCTTTATTGATGGACATCATTGGCCGTGATGGTCAATTGGCTGTCTCTCATCTAGAATCCATTCTTTTACATGAAAGATTCCCTTCAGACTGGTATCCAAGAGAGACTTCCATGAGCTTAGTAGAAGTGGCCACAAAACCACTTTTGTGCTGGATGGGTCTTTATCAAAGTAAAATAACATTGGATATATTGAATAAAATTTAATCACATAAAAGATAATTAATGCACACGAAGTGCTTTTATACTGTTCTTTATCGAGTCTTTGTTACTCTTGTTCTTATTGGTATCTTCAACTGGCACAGATGGACGTCTACTAGGATGCGTTGTGCTCTTGATAGATTCGGGTATAGGTTTAGACGCTGGCTTAGTCGAACAAGAGGACATGGGTCGTCTCAAGGTAGCTTCTTTGGGTTTATGAAACAATTTACCAAACCGATGTCCCAAGGTCGGTGTCACCTCAGTCTCGCCTTCTTCTCTCTGCCTAAATGACTGGCGACGACCATTGGTGCTTACGCCCATCATGAGTCTGGCTGTACGACTTTCACCTGCAGGTAATCGCTTTCGATAGACAGAGCATTTAGGCGGCAACTCCCTTTTGGGTTTGACAGACGGAGGGTCCAGATGGGATCGCTGGGTTCTTGTCTTGGGCTCAGCCAATGGAGACCGTTGTGTAGCTCTTTTTTGTTGGATATCTGCTGTGGATAGAGAAGAACGGAATTGATGTGTAGGTGATTTGAGTTGACCCGTAGGGGATCTCAATGGACGCGTACTGGGTGATTTCAAGACTTGATCGATGCGTGAAGGCACTGTGTTTGAGCGTGTCAATTGTGGTTTCAGTAGACTGCCACCTGACAGGGATTTCTGTTGTACAGGTGCAAGTGCACTTGATCGACCTGGTTTGATTCTCGACTCTGTGATCTTGAGCTCTGGTTCTTCCATCACAGGTTGTATACAAAGCATAGGAATACGCGATCCCTGATGACGATTGGCATCGGTCATCGATTGTCGTTTACGAATCACGTTGGCAATCTTTTCCTTGACTGGAATAGCTGCTGATACACTTCGATCCACAGAGAAGGAAGGAACAGGCAATCTACATTTGGCAGGTGGACAGGTGGGTTTTTCATCTGTGGTTGGGTGAGATACACTCTTCTTTTGATCCATACGAGTGGCTGGAAATAAGAGTTCCGGTTCATATTCTTTCAAGAAGGGATGCTATAGGGAGTAAGGTCAATCGTTTATAAAAGGGGAAGCTTACTTGTAAGATGCTACTGGCTGAAGATCGAGTGCGTGGATCAGGATCAAGGCAACAGTCGAGTAAATCCACAAGGCCTGGTGGTAAATTAGGTGGGTATTCAGGTTTGCCTATGCTTAAGATGCGTTCTTTGATCTACTCTTGTTTTGTCAATGAACATTAGTCATCTCCTCATGAACTCACTTGTTCTTCATCTAGTTTTTCATCTTCATAAGGTGCTTTTCCGCCATTTAATACTTCAAGAATCACAATGCCTAAAGCCCAAATGTCTACTTTGTGATTGACTATCTTTTGTTGAACGAGTTCGGGTGACCAGAACAAGACGACACCTGCTTCTTCTACACTGGAGTCTGCTGCAGGTGAGATAGAAACGACACCAAAATCACCTATGGATGGACTAAGTGATACTGTCCATAGTACAACAAACTTACCAATGACAATGCTGTTTGTCTCTTGATCTAAAAAGATATTGTCACATTTAATATCTCTATGAATATAACCATGACTATGTACTTTAGCTAGTCCAGACGTAATCTAGAGTGAATGGTTTAATAAACTCTAAAGGAGACCACCACATCATACTTGCCGAAGTGATGATGTAGACCAGTTGGCCTACTGTCAGATGATGGTCAAATACATAATGTTGTAATGAGCCACCTGTACAAAGAGGCATGACAAGATAAACAAATTCTTGATGCAAGTGTACAGCATATAATTTTAGAATATTGGGATGAACACATTTTGTCATGGAGTAAATTTCATTCTCTACAAGTTCTTTTGGCATCACAAATGCATCTTCATATTGGTTTTCTTCTACAAGGTATTTTTTGATAGCCACTGCTTTGTTGGTTGACCTTTCTATACATTTGTAAACACCACCTTGTGCACTGAACCAAGTGGGTTCTTCATCTAGACCAGAATAAAGTAACCCTGGGTCGGAAGATAGAACAGGTACTCCATTCACTTGTTGCATATTTTTACTAAACAGAAAAGAAAAGGAAAGAAAAAGAAAAAGAAAAAAAAACGTGCGTCTATGAGTGAATGAACAGTGGCTTGTTCTCTCCTTATTTGAACAAGTTTAGTGTGTTACTTTTACAAATATGTAATTTTTGAAAAGAGTGGTGCCTGAATAAACTATATAAAAAAAAAAAAGAGGCAAAGAGAAAGAATGGATATATAGAATATACTACTTCGATTGGCTTGAAAGAAGTCATGGTTGAACTAGAGGACATTTTGCTGAATTGGACATCAAATACGATACTCTATTCATTAAAAATCGAAAAAGAGAGAGAGAGAGAGAGAGAGAATGTCCCTATTTTTCAGATAGTGTGGGCAAATTAGTTTTTACAAAGAAAATTTTATATTCGCAAAAGAATTGTCATAACAAAAGTTTATATATAATGCCAAGCTCATTTGTTGATAGAACTCTTTATCTATCTCTCTGTCTTTGTTGTTCTCAAGTAGGACAAATATCATGCTAGAAAACCACAGATATTGTCTTTTGTGTGTTACTATTATATCCTTACTTTTGACTTACAGTCATTTGATCCATATCTCAATATGCAAAATAGAGGTGTCATGTCCCATAACAGCATAGCAAAGGTATATGAACTCAAAAAAAAAAGCCGAAATCTAATCATATAGACAGTTCTTCTGCACTTTTTAATATCACTGCATATGAAAGTCTGTATCAAGTAGGGTTGTTCACATTGATGCATAAATTAGCATTCGTAAGAAGAAGCAAACCTTCTTTTAAGCATGAAGCGTGATATTCTAGATTGGTATTAGTGACAATAGACATTTCATGGGCAAAACCTTCTACATATGGGAGTCGTAGAAAGAGTATGGTAAGCATTTATTGAACAGCACTACTTGATAGTACTTAACCAAAAGATTGCTTTCTAAATGAATATTGAACATTAGTTTACAGATCAGAAGTAAAGAAATTTTGGCTGATTTGGATGATAGTCTATCACGGCTCGAACGTCACTGGTATATTCTCCTTGCGTACTTTCCTTTTTTTTTTTTCAAAGCCAAGATGCTACTGTCAACTACAGCATTAGATAGAATCTGAAATTTAACTATATCCTGATAGATGCAAGGCTTTATATGTTTGCCATTCCTTTTCTTTTGTATCGAAAAATGATTTGTTAGATGTGTATGAATTTGGATCAATTAGATTTAGAATAGAATTGCAGCAACGAGCTTCCCAGATATACAGCAAGCATATACATCAAAATAATACCATAACCATGTTAAGCATCAGAGAACTTGGTTTTGAGGTACAAGATAAGGACATTATAAAATGCTTTCTTTTTTTATCATTGAAACCATTTTTGTTAGAGTAAGTAAAAAATATGGAAGAACTAAAACAAGGCAGAGAATTGCTGTGTCAGGTTCTTATTATTGGCAGCAAAGCGTCTGGATTTACAACAAGAGTATTACATTGCGACTATGATATAAATAATCCAACATAGGCATTGTACTGAACATTTGATTACTAGAACTCATTAGCAATTGTATGTACGGAACTGTAAATGCATATATTTGGAATCAGGTAGTATCTCTGAATTCGATTAAGTAGTAATATGCCACTGTTTTATTACCATCGATACGTCTGC